ACCGTTCAACACATAGCTGTTTTGGGTTATATCGGCATACTTTTACATAAGGAACACCCTCCCGAAGTTTGGCACATTCCTCCTCGGCCTGCCTGTATATATATATATATATATCATGTTTTTCAACATATATGCTACAGTACAGTGCTTGGAAAACTGATGTATTTCATACATATTTTCGAACATCCTGTGACATCCTAGAATAGGTTCTTGATAATTCTCATTTTAGTCATTTAATATCCCTTTGTCAGGCTTGGTGGTTAGCATGATGAACATGAAGTTGAAATATTCATATCAAGTATCCCTATTCCAAACATTATACATACACAGACACAGTTCAGTGTGGCAAAGAAAGCACGGCAAATTTTGAGACTTCAATTTTTATATTTTCAGTTTAAGCAGTGAAGATGCATTTACAGAAATAAATTTTAAATGGTATTTGAAGAACATAAGCTGTTACAGCTGTCTGAAATCTCACTTTATATTCTGAGAAATTTATGCTACAGGTGATGCGACATTGAACTCTCTTTCAGGGGGTTCTGGATTTGATTTCCAGTCAAATGTCTTCAGATTTTTCACCTCTACTATAAGGATTTAGAAATGTTATGAATGCTAAACCCTCCTGCCCCAATATCATGAAAACAGCAAGATAAAATTATTTTCAGGTAACTGAGTTAACTGGACACACAGCGCGAGTCTTACATCTTGCCATGTCTCCTGATGGAACCACAGTTTTATCTGCTGGCGCAGACGAGACTTTGAGACTGTGGAAATGCTTTGCTCCTGATCCTGTCAAGAAGAAGAAAGAAACAACAGACTCTAAGGCTACAATCAGCTTATTTCATGGAATTCGATAATAAAATTTGGAAACAAAAACTGTAAAAAAAGGAACTGATATTCAATGAACAATTGAAGTAAAACTTACTTTTTAATATTTAATGCAGTTATGCTTCTTGAAGGGTTTATATAACCAGTACTTCACACTTCACAAAAGAGAACCAATTGTTCGTCGAATGTCCATACTTTTATCTTACAGTTTTTGTTCCCAAATTACACAGGAGATTTGTGATGTTTTTCTAATATTGACACTTATTTTAATGCACCATACTTTCGGCATCAATTTTAATATTTCACATCAAGTTTTATTTTATCTTACAAATTTATTAGTTGTTAGTGCCAGGAAGGTTATACTAAAAGCATGGAAGTTCAGAAAGTGCAAACCATTGAACTATTCTTTTGTTAATAAAGATAGGACTTTAACAGAGGGCAATTATCAGAGAAGAAGTTTGGTGTTCATTCTGAGGTACATTTTACACGCATGTTTTGTGAGGTGGATCTACTCACAAGTTCAGGTGATAGTTGTCAGACAGATTATGCCTTTTATTGTAAACTTAATTCTCATTTAATATTCTTTTGTTGCATGTGGAATGATATCAGAGCAGATCCATACAATTTGATGATTATTGATGGATCTGCTCCGATATCACACTCTCTGACATAGTGGGTATGGGTTACCCTTTGTAGAATCAACCTGTGTCTTAATGCCCATATTACTGTTTGTTATCAAGTGCCCATATTTTGAGACACATACTTTTTCTGATTAAATTTTCATGTACACTGATTTGTGCTTTGACTGCTGCTTCCAGATTTGCAATAGTGAAAATAACTGTTCTGAAAATCTTCCCATGAAATCATTTAAGTGTAGCTGTATGCTCTGTGACTACTGATAAATGATAAAGTTATCAGCTCTATCAATCATATGAAAAGGAAATATGAAATAAATATACTTATAGAAACACTGGATATGTTTTTTCTTCTTTTTCTTTCCTTCATATCAGGTCACAACCATGTGTTTTAAGTATAGCTGTACAGGAAACAGCAGAGTAATGGAAAAAGATACACAAAGGCTGTAGAGACAGTACCCTGAAATATGGGTACCATTGTGATTCTGTTGTTAAATGTGAATGCCAAATATGCAAGTACCATATATACTGGCATAGAGTCCTTCAGAACTGGGGCTCATCTAATATGTAAAAGTAAGTAAAGCTATCATTGTACCAGGCCATGAAGGCCCATAGGGTTGTGAGACGTTGAGGGTCCTACACTAGACAATTGGCTCAAAGATGGCGGTAAGGTTGTCAGCCTTACGTGCTGGCTGCACTTTACTCGCCAGGAAAATTATTTAATTAATTCCCTGGTACTCATATCTGTTAGAGGCTGAGTAAACCCCAGGGCCTAGTGCAGCTGGAAGGATTAGGTCAACTGAAAGAAATCCAATGACCTCATCAGGACTTGAACCCGCGACCTTCCGGCTTGTAACATAGCCCCTCAATCAACTACACTACCGCGTGCCCCCTTCTAATATGTAAGGCACAAAATGTGAATGTTAAAATGCTACTCAACATTTAACAATTGTTATGCATTAAGTGCAAAAACAGTTTTAATAAGAGAAAGGGGACATAAAAGTTAAATTTCCAATAATACTGTCATGCATTGCAGATGGTAGAAAACTGAAGCCAGTGTTCATATTTAAGAGAAAAAGAATGCCAAAAATCAAGTTCTCTACTGGGGTTTTTATTCACATTCATCAAAAGGGCTGAAAGAATGGAAAGAAGATAATTAAGTATGGACTGATAAGGTTACAGAGTAGGCAACCTGCTGGCTTGTGAAACATTGTACCCTACTGGTGTGGGATATGTTCAGACCACAAAGAAACACCTAACAAGGAACAACAGTGACATGGCAGTTATTTATGAAGGCTTCTCATCATTAGTACAAACACTGGATGAATGTTTTAATATGCCTCTCAAGGACTGTTCATGCACAGTGGAATGGGTGGGTGCTTACAAGAGAAAAGTCATCCACAAAATGCTGAAATATTCATGCTGTGCAACTGGTTGTACTATGTAATTTTATCTTTAAGCCATGGAATGAAATGAATGTAAAAACTCATGAAATATTTCAAGAGCAAGATGAGGAGGAAGCTGGAATTGCAGCCTGTGATTCAGAGTTGGATCCATTCACGTACAATTACTCGTTTATCTCAAGGTACACCTAATGAACTACTAATGTCAAATGTTGATGAGGATTCTGCGAGATTTGAATGACTTTTAGTTTAAAGAGAAATATTTCTTAAGTTATCTTATTTCAAAAGTATAACTTCAAATTTGAATTTGTAATTGGATATTATGGGGTTGTTTTATATCCCAGTATATGCTGCTATCCAAAAAGTATCCGATTTTATTTTTTGCCACTCTAAGTGATGGCCAAAGGGGTGGGGAAACAGCGTAGTGGTAGAAGGGACTTTCATGTGCATGGGTGATTTTTTGCTGACTTGCAACACTTCACAGTTCCAAGGTCACAGTTTGATACGCGATATCTTCATTTGGAATTATTGCCCCGTACTCTTTTGAAGATGAGTGGGAAAGGGCTGTAACTGTGACTGGACCAGGTTACGTTCACATGTTGGAGAGCCTCTTAGCTCCTGCACTTGCTTGGCTTCCAGTCAAGGAAGAAGAGTTTTTCCAAAAAGATGTGGTTACGTGCCACACTACACAAGCTTCCATAGCAGTTGTGAACAACCTGTTTCCTAACCATGTTATCTCCAGAAATGGGGACATCATATGGCCAGCCAGGGCACCTGATCTTTCCACATGTGATTTTCTTCTCTAGCGGTATCTGAAATCCCAAGTTTTCAAAGCTCCAGCATCCCACACAGTTCAGGAGTTGAAGCATCAAATTTGGGAAGAAGTTAAACGAATTCCTGTGGAGATATTGCAAAGAGTAATGAGTGACTTTAGGAAGAGACTTACCGAGTGCCTACAGTGGAAAGGTGGTCATTTGTCGGATGTTGTTTTGGGGAAACAGACTTCTGTTTTCAGTGAGTTAATTGAGAAAAACCAAATGATTTTATGTTTGCACTGTATTAATGTGTGCTAAAACCAAATGAATGCAATAGTTTATTGTTCATAATGCTTTTAAAATTGCCCGATTCATTGACACACTCTGTATATAGAGTCAGAACCTGGAGTTTTTGTGTTTTTATAAAAGGGGTTATTATACTAATCTTTCAGAGTGTTAAAATGAATAATATATACCGATGTGAACTGTATAGTGTCGATTGTTACGGATCTGAAAGAAAGCAGTTGTCGAATGAAGTACCTCCTTGGCGTTTGCTTGGAGCACAGAAAATATTATAACATGTGAATCAATCTACCCGTAGAGGGTCTCACAGAGGTGGTTATGAAAAAGTCCGTTGAAAGACAACCGAAGTTTAGGAGGAAAATGTTGCCTCCATCATCAGGGTCGAAGAATAAGCCAAGCAAGAAACGTGGATCGACTTGCAAAGAAGTACATGGCGTTGTATGAGAGAGGATAGAACTCTTCTATTTGCCAGTAGATGGCATTACTATGAGGACCAAAGGGCAACAATGATGGACATTTTGTCTGAGAATAGCAAAATAAAATACCCAACGTCAGTTGGAGCTAGAAGAAAGAAGATTAAAGCAAGGCGTCGGTTATTTCATAAACAAATTTCTTACATTTATATAAAACAGATATGTGAGAAAAGTAAAAGAAGTAATTGTACTGATTATAAACAATATACTCTCAGATTTAAGTTAGGATCTATATTAAGAATCGAAGGGTGACTCCTGTTATAGAATAAGATGTTTATGAGAACGTGCAACAGAAGGCCAGATGGGCATTGTCTAGGCCTTTTTTGTATTTACAACAAAAAAAATAATTACCGGTTTTGTACTACGCGGTGGTGCGTGTGTGCGTTAAGTGATGCGCAGTAGTCACTTATGTAAGGAACTGTAATTCTCGGACCATTCTCAGCATACGTTTAGCCTGGAGAATAGTGGAAATTTGCTCATACTGCAGCACAGTTTTCGTGGGTGTATTTCACCTGCGATGAATATAGAAAAGCAGTAATTTACCAAAGGAAATATGTCGAATTCTAAAAAGGCTGCGCTGTTCATTTGCTTGGGAAATATTTGCCGGTCACCAATAGCAGAAGCCGTGTTCAAGCATCTTCTCGATGAAAAAGGAAAGTTAGATGAATGGGAGGTGGACAGTGCCGCTCTAGGTTCATGGCATGTTGGCGGAAGACCTGATAGACGTGCTGACAAGATCTTAAAAAATCATGGTATTGATTATTCTCATAAAGTCCGTCAGATCACGAAAGACGACTTCAAAAAATTTGACTTCATATTTGGAATGGACGAAAGCAATATGCGAGATCTGAACAAACAAAAACCAACCGGTTCAAAGGCTCAGTTAATTTTACTTGGGTCCTATGATCCTGAAGGAGAACGTATAATTCGGGATCCATATTATGACGACGATGATGCTGGCTTTGAGAAGTGCTATCAGCAGTGTGTTCGTTCCTGTAGGGCATTCTTAGACACTCATCAGTAGAAAATGTGTGATCAGATTGGTTTGGAAGTAAAGGTTGTGATCACCGTGCCCATAATTTCATCAGTGAATGTTTCGAACAGGTTTACAGTATGCGAACTAAATGTGTGTGCTTGCAGAATTTGAGTTTTATTAGCAATTACAAAACACAGTAGATCAGCCTGGTCCATGTACTGGAACTGGTCATTAAGATTTACTGAAGACGTTTTGCAGCTTTCAAGTATATAAATGTAGTTTGAGGTTACGGTTAAGAAGGGCAGTGGTTAGTAACACTTTCAACTTTGTTTTCAATTCAGAGTAACTAAATTTTGGACTATGTAAGGTTGCACTGTTTCTATTACTGTTGTCAGTAATATAAATTTAGGGTAAGATATGCATACATGTCCATGTCATTGAAACTGTATCCTAGCTGTAGTGTAATTTAGTCCAAGACAAATTTTTATTGTGGTGTGTTTCTAGACTTCTTGACATTCCTGTGAAACATAAGCTGCTTGCCAATAGGAAGCAGGATTTGCTTAGAAGAACTATACAAATTTGAAGATAGCACAAGCTACCTAAGCTAACTGTATTATCTTATAAGAATACCAAAGTTCATTGTGTTAACTGATATGTTTGTGGGTTATATCATTTATCATCTCAGACTGCATCTATAGTAATAATGCCTATCTTACATATAATTTCATGCGAACAACTTCTGCTTGTTAATTGGCCTTGGGACCAAAGTATTTTCAACATAATAAAGAAATGTCCATATTTGTACCTCTTTGAGCTGGTTTAATCGTTGAATGCACTGGCACCTTGATGTAACAGGACCCTGACACTGAACTTTCAACTTTAACCCATTATTTAAGAATTGATTTAGTGGGTGCCACTTGAATTTGTCACAGGAATCTGATAAAGGTTATATGCGTGAAAGTGGTGGTAAACTAGGAAGCTGAGAGCATGAGACACAACTTAATTTATATAGGCAGAAGTCAGTCCTCAGAGAATGGTGATTGAAGAACTTGTTAATATTGTGTACTGTTTATTAAACTAAATTGTATCATGGTTGGTCAGTTACGTATTTTACAGGAGTGGGTACCAAACATCCCCAAACCATTCTGAGCTGTCTTCCAGGGGCTTCTTCAGCAGAGACATTGCATGGACACTCTTGACACTACAAAAAAAAATAATGCTTGAAGAAATATCGTGAAGAATAGTGTATAACACTGCAGTACACTTGTATGATATCTCACCTGATTCATGACTGACATAAATGCAAATTTAAATGTCGATCAAGTAAAAAAAAATAAACAAGGAAATGGTAATTAATCACTTCTGTCTGATTTCAAGATAGCATGAAAGTTTAGTGTCAACCCTTGTTATCAAATTTGCATTAAGAGGTAATTCTGCAGCAACACCACCAGTCCAAATTAATGGGTGCTTAATTCTGAGTATCATTAGAGAAAAATAGTTATACATATGTACAGTGAAATCGCATGTTGTGCAGGAATTATGATCTAAAGATGGCACATAAACCCCAAATCATGTATAGCCAGAATTACCCTTGAAAATCCCTTAAATCTCCTTTAAATTACATGCTTTTAATTTAATAGGTATGTAATGTGTGCAGTGAAGATATATTATACAAGTGAAAATGTACAGTAATTATAATTACACAAAAGTAGATAGATGGAAGAATGAAAGAATAAAAAGAGAAAACAGTAAACCTGAACACTTGCCATTTCAGCCTATGTGTTCCAATGATTAGTTTTTCTCTTCCCCCAACAACACTATTTGGTGGGGGGTTAAAATCACATATGATACAACTGCAATGTTTGCTTTTTGTTTCTGACGTATGATGTTAGATAATTGTGTACTTAGTTCAGCTGTAAGGCACATACGAGGAGGGGATCTGGAGGTTTCAGTTCCACACATTATGGATGAACCTTGTCACTATTTGGAGGTGTGTGGTTGATCTTAGAACGTTGTACGCCGTGCAGTACTCTTTAATGTTTAAGAATACTGTAGGACATTCCTCAATTTTAACATGTTAATCATACTTGGGAACAATAGCTTTTTGTTGTCTGAGGTATATATTATATTTTGAGGGAATTACAGATTAAACTTGGTTTACATTTAAACTAACTAGTAATTATCATGGGATATCACTGCTGTCAACTTCATAACAAAATTGTATCTAATATTCTACTCTCAAGGTTAAGTACATATATAGATGAAATTATTGGGGATCATCAGTGTGGATTTCAATGTAACACATGAACTACTGATCAGACCTTTTGCATTTGTCAGGTACTGGAGAAAAAATGGGAGTACGATGAGAGAGTATATCAGCTATTTGTAGACTTCAAGAAAGCCTGTTATTCAGTTAGGAGGGAAGTACTGTACAATATTCTGATAAAGAGTTTTGGGTACCCATGAAACTATGTAGGCTGATTAAAATGTGTGTAGATAAAGTGTATAGTAAAGTGAGTATAGGTGAAGATTTATCTGATAATTTCCTATCCAGAATGGTTGAAAACGAGGAGATTCTTTATTGCCACTACTTTTCAACTTTGCTTTAGAATTTGCCATTAGGAAGGTCCAGGAAAACCAGGTGGGGCTGAAATTAAATGGGACACATCAGCTGTTAGTCTACACTGATGATGTGAATCTACTGGGTGATAATGTAGATACCATAAAGAAAAACACACAAGCTTTAATTGACGCTAGTAAGAGGGTGGTCTAGAGATAAACACAGAGGAAACTAAGTATATGTTGCTGCCTCACCACAAAAATGCAGGGCAAAATCATGACATGAAGATAGGTAATAGATGTTTTGAAATGTTGCACAGTTCAGATATTTGGGAATGACTATAACAAATAAAAACCCGATTCAGGAGGGAAATAAAAGGAGACTGAACTTGGGTAATGCTTGCTACCATTCAGTCCAGAACCATTTGTCTTCTTGTCTGATGTCTGAAAAAATGAAAATTAGAATCTACAAAAACTAATTTTGCCTGTGATTCTGTATGGGCGTGAAACTTGGTCTCTGACATTAAGGGCAGAACACAGACTGAGGGTGTTTGAGGACAGGGTGGTGAGAATCATATTTGGATTGAAGAGAGATGAAGTGACACGAGGTTGGAGAAAACTGGGTAATGAGGAGCTCCATAACTTGTACTCTTCTCCAAGTATAATTAGAATGATCAAATCAAGGAGGATGAGGTGGGCAGGTCATGTAGCACGAATGGGGGAGAAGAGGAATGCATATAGGATATTGGTGGGAAAGAGAAGGAAAGAGACCAGTAGGAAGAAGATGTAGGTGGGTGGACAATATTAAAGTGGATCTTAGAGAGACAGGATGGGATGGTATGGACTGGATTAATCTGGCTCAGAATGTAGTAAAAAAAACGTTGCATGAAACCAGGTCAGTTGAAACATAAACAGAAGCACCAGGTGACATATGAACAGGATTTAAAAGGAGTAAAAAAAGTCACCTTGTCATTTATCCCAAGAAAGTGATGTCGAAGTGTCCACACTTTGAGTCACAAAAGTCCCACACAAGGTTCTGAGTGTACAAATATTGGTGGTGCACTATCTTATATGATTTTTATCTGCTAGGAAGTCTGAGACAGACAATTTTCAGAACACGTGCACAATGCAGGGCTTACAGATTGTAACCCAGAATAGTACCCTAGAAATCATGGGAAGAGGATTGGTTTTAGGGTTTAATTATCAATGTTCTGTTCTTGGGTTGTTACGCTATGTGGATGTGGGTGACGGTGTGTTTCAGAGGTACATGCTGCCTCCGTCTTCAGGGTCAGTTAGGTTATGAGTTTCATACAATATTATATGTACACAAAAACTCACCAACCTGCATACCTGGATTCCACACATGGAGGCATCATGTACCTCTGAAATGTTGGTAACATCTTCTCACACATACACAGTGTAACTAACACCCTAGTAACACAATCAACATGAACATTATGTGTAGCAGAATTTGTCACAAGCAAGGTCCGTGGTTTTAGTCGGCAAGCGAACAATACTGACCAAGCGACCGCCGCTTGTCAGTGAAATTAGTGCTAACATTAGCAGATAGGGGGTGTCTCGTGGTCAGCATAATGAATCCCCATGCCATTAATTTCGGTTTTCTAGACCGGAGCCGCTATTTCCTTGAAATAGCTCCTCAATTATCCTCAAATGGCTGAGTGGACCCTGTTCCAGACCCACTACTCTGAAAATTGTGTAGCGCTAGGAATAGAACTCTGACCACTAGACCACAGAGGCGGTCAGCAGAATCTGTCACACTGGTGCAAAATGTACATTGATGCTCAAGGAGGGCGCTTTTAGGACTACTGAAGCATGAGGGAAGTGGCATTACTGATACTACTTTGAATGTGGACAGACCCTCCCAATTAGATCATGCCATAGCTGTCATCAGGGAGAAGTTGAACACATTATCGTTTTATGAATGAACTGAAAGTAGGCTGCAACTGAAGAAATGAACCTCTCCATATATCCAAGTACATTAGTGGTGAAGTTATGTGAATTTATGTAACTAATGTGCATATGCACAATGATGTTTTACTGGGTTCTCTTGTACACAGTTTTTGAAAGATACAGTCACGTAAACTGACCTGAAACTTAAAATTACGAGTAAATGTAAATTATATTCATTCTAAAATTATAGGAAAACAGCAAGACTCCAGTAATATGACCAGAACAAAAGACTGCATACTTTGAAGTATGAGGTACCAATGTTTACATCTTAAGCTCAAAAGCAAAATTTAAAAATTCATATTTTAATTGTAAGTTTTGGTTTGAACCATATTACTGTGTACTTAGATCCAAATCTCTCATAGTTATTTTGTCCTGCACATTACCATGAGTTACACAAAATCAAAGATTAATTTGGTACAATTCTGTAGACTTAGAGGTACTTAATTGACCAGCTGTAGGATTGGACAAATCCATTGCCCCATATGCCTTCATGGCAAAGTGCTTAATTGGTTAAGCACAGAAGCAACTTTACCTTTACCTTTATGCCAAGACCATCGCTGGGAGACCCACCCAAGCTATTATCCATTGGATGCTGGGGCCATTTATCCAGGAAGTGAAGCTGATCACTCCCACTTGGTCCTAAGGTTAAAGCCTGAAACTATACATTCACTCCCAATGTCTTTGTGGCATTATTAAATTAAATTAAACACAGGGATAACTTTTCCTTTACATAATTACTTCAACATCTTGAAATTAACGTCATCTACAATGGTTCAGCCTTTTGGCCCATTCCAGTACTTCTTTTGGGTGGTAGGTAATCAAGCAGCTTCTGAGGAATTTGGTCAGTTGGAATTCTTAGGATGTGTTCACAGTACCTTTGTTCATTTTTCATGTTTATTTATTTATTTATTTTTTTGCACAAATAGAATATATTTACTTCCTGCCTAGTATCTTCATTTTTACTTTGATCTATTCTTCAACAGCCTGCAAAAATTTACTCCCAAAACAGCTTCACAGAATGGCAATTTCCATTTGTCAGTTTTAATACTAGTGCAAGATAAATGTATCTAGTTCATAACTTGAATGTTATGTTCTCCAATACAAAGGCAGGATAGAATGACAATACAGTAAACCCTCACATAACAAACCTGGGATATAACAAAAAATCTGGCTGTGTACAATTAAGAATTTTTAGATATGTCGAGGCACTGAGGTTTTGTAGTTAGGAAACTATATAAAACGAAAAAGAAACCCAATATAAAATCCTTATGTAATCACATTGTGATTTCCTACGTTTATTATATGTATTGGCTGTGTATCCTGTGATGTACTTCTGTGAATACTCCTTCATTCTGTTATAGTGGACACCCTGTTGTAACGAGCCAGGGTTTGCTGTATATTCAATGTAATATGCAGGCTTTGCCATAGCTTAGCAGTTAGATTGTAGGTGTTTGCTTCTCACTGCAGAGTTGGTGACCAGAAGTGGTACTGGAGCAGGTCCTTCTGGTTTTTATCGCTGTCATTCTGCCACTGCTCAATATTCTGTCACTGCCTTGTGGTACGTAACAGCCTTAAACTGGGAGTACATTACCACATCCTCAGTCTAAGTTGGGGACTTCCATCTCTGACAGCACTTGGCTGGCTGAGTAACACTTTTTTTCTACAGTAAAAGGTACAACTATATTTGTATTAAATGTCTGAGAAATTTACATTATGCATAGTAATCACCAGCCTTCTTTCACCCCTGATGTAAACAATATTAAGACACAAGATGTTACATACTTGCATATATTTAAACATTTAATATACAATAAAATAGTAATAACATTCATACTGCTAATGGTGCCGTGACGAAAGTATTACTATTTAATTTTTACAGAATTCAAGCAAAGTGTATGTTTCTAGCTTTGAAACAGTATGCCAGTATCCATAATAATAACAAAAGAAAATTATATTGTATCCTATTTTACATAACATCTTCCTGTACTGCAGATAACATATTGCCATACATACGAGTATACTACAATATATTTAGTACAGCATGAATATATATAGTTTGGAACTGAAAAGGTTTCACAAACAGAGCATGAAGGAATGTAACAAAGAACAATGAGTTAAAATTATTAACTCTTAACACTCAGTATTTAAAACCAGAATTACAATCCTTTATCCAATATTAAGGTTGTGAAACCTGGGCCCCAACACTAGTAACACAGCTTCTCAGTTCTCTGCCCACACTCTCAAAACTTACATAACTATTGCAGATCCTTCAAGTAACTTCTCAGTAGTATACATAGATTTTTAATTCCATCTTTCACCTCCACTGAAAGTCAGCATGAAATCTTAGACAGTTAATTTTCACTAGGGAAAATTATCTTTTGCAAACTAATAAAAATGTTCAGTGAAAAAATGTAGCAAAAGATACTTTAAAATTTGTATATACCGAAAGGTCTAAATATGTGAAAAGCATCAATAAATCACAAATGTCTCTTAAAGCTATCCTCACGATTAATCTGATATTGTTTCGTTTAATTCCTACACCTGAACATTACAGCAGTGACATCCTAACTCCCCCAAAAGAATAAAGAAACTGGTAGTTTGTGTGAATTAACAGTGTAAAAACAAACTTCAGTGAATCTGCTTTATTGACACATTCTTCAGAGAAGCATTAAGGGTTCTATGAGAAAATTATGTTGTGGGGGGGGGGTTAGGTAGGTCAGTTTACTGGTCTTTCTTGGCCGTTGCTGCCTGGTATGTTGGCGGGGACTCCTGAAAGAAGAACAGTATGTCATGTTATGAACTATGCTGAAGATTAAATTCCAAGGAAAACTCTGTTCATACAGAAAGATCAACCAAGTGGACAATGGGAAAAATTACATATATACATTAATGTACATGACATATAAGTTTATCATATCCTATGTAGAAATGTAAAGATGGAAGCACGAAGAGAGCTATATGAGATTCGTGGCCCTATTTTGAACATGGAAGCACTAGGTTCCTCCAAAACATCAGATGTCACATCCCAGGAGGCCATAATGTGGTTACAGAACTATACTTTTACCTGCTGCTTTGTATAAGTATGAAACTTGGCCTCTCACCACAAGAGCAGAGTACAGACTTGAGGGGGGTTTGAGAATAGAGTGCTAAGGAGAATACTTTGACGAAAAGAAACAAGTGGATGAAGAAAACTGCATGAGGAGCTTCATAATATGTACTATGTATCACGCATTATTTGTGTAATAAAACTGAGGAAGATGATATGAAAACAGCATGTAGCATGCATAGGAAAGATGATAATGTGTACAAAATTTGAATCAGGAAATCTGAAGGTATAGATCCCAAATGGGAATCCTTAGGTACTGGTAGTAGGATAGTATCAAAATGGATCTCAAATAAAAAGGGCATGATGTGGAGCCTTCGTCTGGCTGAGCAAAGGATTCAGTGATAACCTCCTCTGAGCACTGGGATGATGCTGTGATGTCCTGCAGAAGTTCAGCTGCATTTCAGAGGCATGTACTGCCTGTGTTTTTGGGGCTGAAGAGTAAGTTGAGGAAATAACCAGCAAGCAGAAACAGTGGTAAACTTCTACCAGGCTACATCACATCCCAAAGGCTAATACATTAAATAGATGTGAAAGGATTCTGATGATGGCTGTATAGAACTATTAGGCTTATTTTGGACTCTATCCATCATCTGGTATATATAAGACAAAAAAAACCCACAACGTTTCGGAGACTGGATCTGTCTTCGTCCTCAGGTGGACAGCCAGTGATTGAGACTAGCTCCTTCTAATGGGCCCAACTGAGTACATCTATCCTGCCCCATCCACCTGAGGATGGAGACAGATCCAGTCTCCGAATTGTGCTTTTTTGTCTTATATATACCAGACGATGGACAGAGTAAAAAATAAGCCGAATAGTTCTGTATAGTACATTAAATACTAATAATATTGAACCTTTTGGGTTCCATGCAAGGCAGAGAATGTGATTGACTGAGCAAGTACATAAAGTGAAGAAAGCAGTCTTCTGTGATTTGGCACCGTGTATATGTGGTGTTAACCGACGTTTCGGAGGAACGTATCGCCTCCATCTTCAGGGTAGAAGAAAAAATATAAGAAATCTGCAAGCGAAGAGACCGTGAGACACGGTGTTTCTCATGGTCTCTTTGCTTGCAGATTAACACCACACATACACGGTGCCAAATCCCAGAAGACTGCTTTCTTCATAGTCACCACCGTGAAAGCCTCAAATCTTACAAAGTACATAAAGTATTTGCTTCTCAAGAAAATACTCTATATGATGGAGTTAGATTTTTATGATATTTGCCATAGCCAAAGTTGGTAAACTTGACCAGTGCAGCATGTCATGTCGTGTACATGTGAGACTTTCGAATACAGGGTGATTTTGAATTGGCACAAGTGCAATGAAGTGTACTATTTTAAGCATCTGCATATATACTACGTATACAAACATAAAGGAATATCTGTACATCAATTTAAAACCATTAAAGGTGTTGACACTGGCCTTCACTGACCACCAAGTAGCAGCAAGTACAATGTGTAGCACGTGATAACTTGTTTCACTTGTGAGACTTTAAAATTGCACTGTATTAAACTTGGGGCACTAAGCCACAAGCTGGAAAGTCACCAGTTCAATTCTCAGTGAGGTCACTGGATTTTTCAATTTATCTAATCCTTCCAGCTGCACTATATAGCCCTGCGATCAACTCAGCCTCTAACAGAAACGAGTACTAGGAATCTTCCCAGCATGTAAGGCTTACACCCTCACTTTCATCTGTGAGTGAACTGTCTAGAAAATGTTGGAGCCTCAACAGCTCACAACTCTATGCGGCCTCCACAGCCTGTTACTAGGACCGTTTTACATTTCCTACCATATTAAACTCTCAAACAAGCTCGCTGGTTAGCATTTGGTACTTACATAATATGCGGGTGGTGGAACATAGGCGCACTGTGGTCGATTGGGGTCATAGTAAGCACTCTGAGCTGCTTCAGCTGCTTTTGCATCTGAAATATGAACAATGCCCTATCACACCTGTAAGCAACTGGATGTGAGTGATGTACTAGCATGCTCCTACTCAGCAACCATCATGCCTGAAGTGATAGTGCTTCAGTTTGTTATCTGGTTCTTCCACTTTCTGATATTGGTCGGACAGAATAATAAGCCTAAACCAGAGGTGGGTGATCATTTTAATTCAAAGGTCAAATGATAAATTACACGTTTCACTGAGAAAGAGGTCATATTATGCCAATGAGGGGTAAACATATTTTTTAAGTATCTTCAACTAACACTGGTAACTGCCTAAATGATATGACTCATTATCAATCAACAGTTGCAAAATTAATGTGACAGATGGTGCTGCTTACAGTTGGTGGCATCTTTTTCCAATATCTGATCTAAATGCTGATGTTGCAAGGTATAAAACTGTAGCCAGTTGTTCATCTGTCATCCGTACTCTTAAACCTGATCTGTTCAATCACATCTTTAATGTACTGTCCACGGTTGCATGTGGATGCAAAAACTGGTAATATCTTTCCAAAATCTTTTAATCTGTTGCATTTGGAATCACATAACTGTCCAAAATAATTGGCACACTTCACAGAACTTCTCCTTTAGTTCTCTGCCACTGAACAGGTCAATCAGTTGATCATACTCAATGATGCTTCAGTATTGAGGTTATACAATGTCAGATGGTAGGATGACTGATGTATTGGATAGAATTTGGAAGGAAGCAGTCTTGGTTTAAATGAGGTACTATTGAAGCATTTGCCTGGAGGAAAGGAATTGTTTTGATGTTTGTTGTTTTTTCTTCAAATTCTTATTCTGTGCTTGTTGAAGTTCTGTTTTGGTTTGATTTTCCTGTTCTTGTTCAATGTTTGTTGTTGGTGTGGGGTGGAAGACTGTGGATAAGAAGTAATGCATATGGAAGACATAAGTATAACCAATTGGTCTTATACCTGAAGAAATGTAGTTCCACTATTAGCTTATTTCTATATCATTCCAAATGATTCCAGTAAGTACAAGATTTGTAAGCCCGAAAGCATCTAAACTGTGAAGAAAGTTCACAGTAATTCAGCAAATTACATATGAAGGGTACTATCTTCTGGGATATAATGCCGTGCAGTCCGTTGAAAGTCAACCTATATTTCAGAGAAACATACCGCCTCCATCTTCAGGGTTAAATAAGCCAAGCAGGATACCAGCTTGAAAGCAGGTGTTCTAGTCTCCTACTGGTTCACTTGATGGTTGTGATATACCCTAGTGGTTTCACTGTGTTCCCACAGTGAGCCAAAGTGAGCTGAGGTCCACTCTTCCATTATCGTCCTGCTTTCTATATATATATATATATATNTACAACAATTACAGAGAGAGAGAGAGAAGAAAAAAAATACAACACCCAAAACACAAACAAAAGGAAACCAACAGTCATGGATGCGTAATGTCATTCACTTCACTTCACTTCACTTCACTTCAGTGCAATTTTTTTTCTTTTTAATTATTTCCACCCCAACTTCACTTCGCCTCATTTATCACTTTCCTAACCCTTTGCCTAAAATTGCTTGGTTTACAGGACAGAGTACCTAAAGCATCTGCAGGTAGTTGGTTCCAGAGCTGTATGGTCCTATTTACAAAGGAGTATTTCCCGATATCTGTCCATTGCTTTCTACTCCTAATATAATACAAAATGTCTGGTCAGCCAATTACTCAGCTTGACAACTGCTTTCATGTTGGTATCTTCCTTGGCTTATTCAATCCTGAAGATGTGGGTGATACGTTCTTCTGAAAAGTCAGCTGACTTTCAACAGACTACACAGTATTATACACCCTTCCTAACCACCGCTGTGAGAACCTCAGATCCTACAAATTACAAATTGATTTAGAGTGCCTATGTGTTCACATATTTCTACAAATTGCTATGAAATGGAAGCACTTTACTGAAGCACAACATTCTATGGTCTTGGTAAATGCTTTTGTAATAGTGTAGTGTGTGAAGAACTTACTGATGTTGGTGATAATTCCAAACTTAGTTTTCTAATTCTGTTCAATCCACAAAGTAAGTAGGCAAAAGTATAATTAAGCTATGTTTTAAGCCTTGGAAGAGAAACCTCTTTCAAACAATAGGTGTTTTTCAATCAGTCTTATTTGAAAAACAGTCAAATTACAGTGAAGTGTTAATATAACAATTGCTTATATAAAGAAACGTTTAATTACTAGTGGCTCTGCTTTGTTTTTCTCTTACAACATACAGCAGTAATAATGAGAATTACTGGGTTTTCAGACTTTGTCCATTGTCAGACCCTTTAGAATCTCATCATACAGCAGTAAATTTACATCCATGTTGGAGTTTACAGAAAATACAATAATAAAGTAAACAGTTATTTTCTGGTTACAATTCCCAACCTGTGCAAGGGCTCAGGCTTTAGTTTAGGGCTGGTGGCACTTACCAGCTGCAGACTGTGATCCAGCTGGTGGTGGCTGGGTGAAGCCAACAGCTCCAGGTGGTGGCGCTGATGCAGCTGCATAACCATTGTAGGCATTGATACCAGGGTATGGGGGTGGCATATCAGTCATATACACTGAATTTGCTGTAACAACCAAGCACCAAAAAGTGGAATACTCCCAAATCAGACATATAAATGTTTCAGGTTTTGGCAAGTCTCAATGTTTAAGCTCTCATAACAGATCTATCACATCACACAAATGCAACATAAGAAAAATATGTATCCCAAATAAGTTTATAACTTGAAGTGAAGCTTTTCTAGGTGCTCAGCCATGTCAATATGGTGCTGTTTTTAGTGACTGGCTTCCTCATCATGATTTGATGAATGCTGTGTCTGCAACACAGTATGCTCTGGTTTGCCCAGCACGAACTCAGGAGGGAACAGTGAGTGGAATCAGATGGCCACTGGTGTCTTCTCCCAGCATGGAATGTGACGGTAACAGTGCCTGAGTCAGAGAGTCATCATCACCCCAAATCCATGTTGCTTTGTGCTGGTCCTTCCTGACCATGTGACTCCAGTCGGTCAGCCTACAGCACACTGTTGTGTGAATGGACTCACTCACTCGTGGAGCTGAGCCCTTCTTGAGAAGTCGCCACTTGTGCAGCTACTCAAGAACTTCCCAGCATTTTATGGAACCTGAAGCTTCATTACTATGTTCACAAGAGCCCTCCACTGGTCCCTATCCTGAGCCAGATCAATCCAATCCATCCCATCCCTCTAAGATCCATTTTCATTCTGCCCATCCACCTACATCCTAGTGGTCTCTTTCCTACTGGCTTTCCCACCAATATCCTACATGCATTCTTCTCCCCCATTCATGGTGAGTGCCCTGCCCATCTCATCCTCCTTGATTTGAGCGTTCTGATGATACTTGGTGAAGAGTACAAGTAATGAAGCTCCTCATTATGTAGTTTTCTCCAACCTCCATTACTCCGTCTCTCTTTGATCCAAATATTCTCCTCATTACCCTGTTCTCAAACACCCTCAGTCTATGTTCCTCCCTTAATGTCTGAGACCAAGTTTCACACTCATACAGAACCAAAGGCAAAATTATAGTTTTGTAGATTCTAATTTTCATTCTTTCAGACAGCAGAGAAGAAGACAAAAGGTTCCAGACTGAATAGTAGCAAGCATTACCTGTGTTCAATCTCTTCTTAATTTCCTCTTGAATCAGGTTTTGATTTGTTAAGAGTTATTTCCAAATATATGAAATGTGCCACATTTTCAAAACATCTTTTAGCTAGCTTCAGGTTATTATTCTGCCCTGCATTCTTGTGACAAGGTAGCAACATATACATAGTTTTCTCTGCATTTACCTCTAGATCAACCTCCTTACTAGCATCCATTAAAGTTTGTGTGTTTTTCCTTAAGGTATCTATATTATCAACCAGTAGATTCACATCATCAGCATAGACCAGCAGCTGATGTGTGCCATTTAATTTCAGCCCCACCCGGTTTTCCTGGACCTTCCTAATGTCATATTCTAAAGCAAAGTTGAAAAGTAGTGGCAATAAAGTATCTCCTCATTTTAGACCATTCTGGATAGGAAAATTATCAGATACTCGTAAATGTTTACCTATACGGACTTTACTATAAATTTCATTTAAACACATTTTAATTATATTATATTTAAGCATCCTGTTGCACTCCATACGATAAATGATATAATGATAAAAACTCCGTCTCAAGTGCAAACAATATATTTTATGTCTTTGACCTTGTTCCCCTACACTACATGTTTCGGCCTCAGACGGCCATCATCAGGTGTATAACACTCACGTCGCTGTCACACTGCACCCAGATCAAAATTTAACATTTAAAAACACTTTCCATGTTATTATCAACTTCTACTTCGTTGATAACTGTCTGGTTTGTTATCAACGAAGTAGAAGTTGATAATAACAAGGAAAGTGTTTTTAAATGTTAAATTTTGATCTGGGTGCAGTGTGACAGCGACGTGAGTGTTATACACCTGATGATGGCCGTCTGAGGCCGAAACATGTAGTGTAGGGGAACAAGATCAAAGACACAAAATTTATTGTTTGCACTTGAGACGGAGTTTTTATCATTATATCATTTAACATTTTAATTAGCCTACATAGTATCATGGGTACCCCAAACTCTTATCAGAATATTGTACAATACTTCCTTCCTAACTGAATCATAGGCTTTCTTGAAGTCTACGAATAGATGATATACTTGCTCATTGTACTCCCATTCTTTCTCCAGTATCTGATGAATTCAAAAGGTCTGATCAGTGGTTGATCTGCTACATCGAAACCAACACTGATGCAACACACATCATATCAACCTCCCCCCAAATAATGGAAATGGAGAGTCTCCAAAACACAGGATACATAGTCGCTATGAAAGCTTCAAACTGCAGCAGCAGCAGCAACAAAAACGACGATGACGACAAATTAGTCTAAATTCTCTGTAGATTGATTAATATTCATGTCAAAGCAGCAATTTATATTCTAGCTAAAAAGAGGTTAAAAATACCTATAAATGACTGTTGACTCTTTAAAGTGAGGTGCTAACTCTTCATAAAATATACAAACTAAATTATCACTCTTAGCATATCTCGTGCTTGAAATATAAAAAAAAGTTTTGTAAGCATCACATTTCTCAATGGCATTACGAAATTTGGGTTACTGTAGCAGTGAACTGTCCTGCATTAACACACTGCATAAATGTAAATTATGTGGTAGGCCATGAAAAACAAGAATGTCCTTGATCTTAGTTTGAGCTGAAGTCCTCACAGCAGTGACCATGAAAAGTACTACCTTCTGGAATGTGATGCAGTGTAGTCTGGTAAAAGCTCACCATTTCAGGGGAATTTAGTGGCTCCATGTTCAGGGTCAAAGAACCAGCCCACCCAGCAACCAGCATGAAGGAAGGGTCAAGCTTGCATGAATGTTCCTCCACAGTATCAGTGCACTTCTGCTGGACAATGGAGCATCAAATCCCAGACAACAGTACTAATCAAGTTCTTAGTTAATCACAAGGGTGTGTTCAAATCAAGATCACTGGCATGGCCTTGGATACTGCGATAGCACTTGGAATGTATGATTCAGTAGTGGTGCTGTCCCTTTTGTTCTGGCCTCACTGCTGACTAACATTATGCCCAAGATGTAGCTAGCTTGCCCTGTCCACACACCCACACCAAAACTCCAAGACGTTTTTAAGTTCTCACTTAGATTCTGCTTCTATTTCATCTTATAAACAGATGGAAGCCCTATGTTTTCCTGTGGGCCCCTCTGATATATATCAAAGAAGACACAGAAATAAAATAATATTGAAATGTAGCAGCACAAACAGGCAGGCAGGTATAAATTAAAGAATTCCTCATGAAGTTACACTGACTGATATTGTTCAGTGCTAACAGGTTAATGTCAGCCAGTCTGCAAGACAACACCTGCCTGATGGGGGGAGGGGGAGAGAGAACCTAGAGGACTAAATATCATGCAGTAGCTTTTCCTGACCATATCAGAATTCACAGTTAATACTGACATGCTGGATTTCAGGTTCTCAAAGCAGCAGCTACCTTCCTAAATGTGATGCCATGAAGCCTGGCAGACATTTCATGTTCAGAGGAACAAACTTTCATCTTCAGAACTGAAGAATAAGCGAACTAAGTAACCAGCCAGGCCGTTCCTTGCTGGTTACTGCTTGGTTTACTGTTTGCCCTTGAAAATGGAGGCAGTACGTTCCTCCAAATTGTTGATGAACTTCTGACAGACCATACAGCATCATATTCCAGAGTATGTACCCTTAATATCAGCGTGTTTGTTTGTAAATTTAGTATTAATATTAAGATTTCAAATTCCCATCCTTGATATAGGCATTTTTCTTATATCTGTATATTCAGCTGCATTTCAAGAGCCATACTTACGGGGTGGTATGTCGGGGAATGCATGAGTGGGGGGCATCCATCCATAGTAACCAGCAGGAGATGGTGCATATGCTGGAGGCGGAGCTGCATACCAGGGTCCCATGGGGGGTGCATATGGTGGTGGAGCATCCCTTGGGGAACCTCCTCTGGATGCTACAAAAAATAAATTTAATTAAGAAAAAAATACATGCTGTCCTTTCATAGAACTATAAACACTGTATTCATAACTGTCACTGTTGAGTGGCCCTTTTTCATACCTAGAACTTCAATATTCACTGTGCACCAACTTATGATGGTGAACACTCAAATACTGAATATGAAGAGAATCCCCCAAGTGTTCTGGTATAAGAGAGGCACATGTCATGCACACTGATGGACAGACATATAAACATCATTCCAAGAATCACTTTTTCAGATTCAGTGGCACCTGAAAGCCTGTAAAACTGTCAAAATCTTGAGATCAGTATTTTTCATCATCACAATACCTTCTCATATATATATTACATATATGAGAAAGGAGAACCGTGGAGCTCCTTGTTGAATTTTCTACTGTTCCCCTCTCTTACACAAGAGCATTATCTGCAGTACTTTGTTCTCGAACACTTATACACTATGCCTAATGGCAATGTATTTAATTCAATAAACTAATTCTGACGGAGACAGACTTTTAGCTTCATGCACAACTACAACACAGAGAGAGGACCAATCCGTAGTGGATGCACATATTTATTCAACACATTTCCATCTACCTTCCATATATGAAGGCAGCCACCTCCACCTATGAATGTCATACCACAGCGACAGGAACCCACATAGGATTGGTTTAGGAGAAACTTATTTTTCTTTTCACTAAGAAACAGAATGCTGTTTTAATCCACGCAGTCAGGCAATGTAACCAAGCTAAGCACATAATGAGGTCACCAGGCAGTGCTGCCATGTCAACAATGTTTACAAATCATATCATGAAGGTTTGCTGATTGCATCGGTATTGCATGCATGATACCACACTTTTGTAAGTTACTATGTGTTGTGAAATGAATTTAAAAAATACATGGAATATTGGTAAGCACCTTTTGTAAATTTTTTTCAACAAAATCTGTCACCTTCTTTAAAGAAAATGGAAGCATTTACACATATTTTGGGGAACAAAAGGCTACTCTCATGGACCACAAAAAAAAAAAAAAAAAAAAAAAAACCTAGTCTGTTGCAAACTGGAGAGCCATGCCTTAATGCAAGCTTCAGATTTTTAATATGACCCATCACCACCTATCTTTAAGTGGAATATATGTTGAAGTAGACCATAAATAACCAGAGTTCAAAAATGAAGTTATGAAACCACAGAATGCAAATAAACTTGCTGCTGTAAACTACTGTTATTTAAAGGAGGTATACATTGTAGATCTATCTTACAAAGTAATACAACATTGTGATACTCAAATATAATACAATAACATTTAAATTACAGAGGTGTTATTTAGCATTAAATAACAACGTGAAGACAATTGTGATTAGTGAGAAGGCAAGGCAGCCATGGTTTATTGCCAGGTATTATCAGGAGAGAATAAGGAGAATCATGGTAAATCCATCAGGACAGCTGGTAATTTGGTTGAGATTCAAACCAGGTATTTCAAAAATATAAGTTCTGAGCATTACTGTTCTACTAACCTGCCGAACACAACCAATATAGCAAACATCTACTTTATCATCATCATCATCATTATTATTATTATTATTATTATTATTATTTAAGATGGGATGATGTCAGTATAAGCACATAAGTGTGCATTAACACAGTTCTGTTTACAAATATAATTTCTCTTTAATAAAACCTAACCTGTTCCAGCTGAATGGATTCACTGAATACCATGTAGTGTGGTTAGCACTACTCTTTCCCATTTAGGAGGCCCCTGGTTCAAATGAGTGGGACATTAGGTATCCTGACTGAAGCTTCTCATTGTTCTCACCAGACACCTGGGCCTATACCTTACAGAAAGTAAGTAAAGCTATCCCTGTAACAGGATGTGCAAGTCCAGAGGGTTGTGAGATGCTCAGGCTCTCATATTTTCCTATACAATCAGCTCACAGATGGAGGTGAGGCTGTTGGAATTATGTGCCGGCCGCCCTTTACCCCCAGAAAGATTCTTGGTACTCATTTGTATTAGAGGATGAGTCTACCCCAGGGTCATGGTGAAGGATTTTGGTGGGAAAGCCAGAAGGAAAAGAGACCACTAAGAAGACCTGGACAAAGGCTGAAGGATAATATTAATATGGAGCTTAAGAGAGAAGGGATGGGGTGGTAATGACTGAATTGATTTGGCTCAGGATAGGGACAAGTGGAGGGTTCTTGAGAAAATAGTACTCAATCTTTGGGTTCCATAAAATGTTGGAAAATTCTTGAGCAGCTGAGCAACTGGCTCTGTGGAGTTCATTAGTTATTGTCAGAGATCAGAATCAGAGGCCTAATTCATTTTGCTCATGATGCAGGGTTGATGTTGGCATAAACACGGATGAATTATGAAGCATTACTGGTCATGGTGCAAAGACTGTTTGACACACATTTATTTCTATTCTAATTCTAACACCAACGCCCACCACTGCACAATCTTCTTCTGCAAGATCCATCTTACTACAATCTTCATTTCCCTTCTCACTCTTCCAAGTGACTACTTTCCAACATATCTCCCTATCAAAATTCTGTATCCTAATAATACTAGAGGACTTTATAGCATAAAAACAAAATGTAATACCCAAGATCGAACAATTTTGTTTTAAATATGTTCAAGTTCAAACAATTTTGTTTAAAAGAAATCAGGTTATGCTTGACAATGTTTAGATAGTGGATAAGAAGGAATCAGATGCAAAGGCCACAGAACTGTACGATTATCAACTTACAACTGACGGTACTCTCCTGACTATAAAGTTGGCTACATTTGAAGGAAGAAAACATACAGCTCCCTGAAACTTATGTAATGCCATGAAGGTACATGGGGAAGTGGAGGTATAGCTCCACTAATAACTTTGGCACTAGATGAATGTGTTTGGGCCAGCTTCACACCCTGGCACCTTTACTCCCAGGTGATGGAGGCCCACAGGGTTGTGAGATGTGGAGGCTCCCACATTCTTTTTTAAACAGTCAGCTCATAGACGGTGGTAAGATTGCCAGCCTTATATGCTGGCTGCCCTTTACGCCCATGAAGATTCCTGGTACTCATTTCTATTAGAGGCTGAGCTGACTCCAGGCCCATAGCGTAGCTGGAAGGATTAGGTCAATCGAAAAATCCACTGACCTCAGTGGGAATCGAACTCAAAACCTTCCGGCTTGAATATGGGAAATATTAATATTTGCAATGTCATCCTTTGTTTTTGGAACACATTACAGAAGCCTCTCCACAAATGTGGTCATCAGCATGATACAGGACAAAAGGTAGTGTCAACACAGGCACAGTATTACACATGTATTGCAATCCATTGGGAGTCCTGATAGGTCATTCAGGATAGCAACAGGACAGCTGGGTAGCTGGGATTTGATTCCCAGTAGGGACAATATATTTTTCTCTACTCTACAGCATCCAGGCCGAATCTGAAGCCAACCCAGCCTCCTCTCCAATGGATAACTGGGGCTTTCTTCCTGAGGGTAAAGCAGCTGAAGCATGAAGATGACCACTCACCTCCTTCTAGTGCCAAGGTCAAGATTGGTGGAGCTACCCTCCACTCCCCCATATATCTCCATGGCACAGTGCTCAATTAATTAATCACAGGGACAACTTCACATTTTTATTCAAATCCATAACTATATTGTGTGTATAAATCACTTGTTTCCCCATCAAAATCCTGCATGCATTCCTTGTCTTAACTTTCCTAGCTACATGCCCAACCCACTGTAGCCTCCCAGATTTCACTATCCTAACAATACAGATGACCCTGGACAAACAAGAAGACTTTAATTCAATCCTCAGGTTGAATACACAATATCAAATATTTTTATTTAACAAACATTCAAATAATTCTAAACAAGACACTTGGGCAAAAAATCACATACCAGAAAAACATCACACTTCAAAGTCTGAAAGTACACATAAACTATTACACACTTCCTAAGTGTAATGACTGGCTAATATTTTACAATACTATGCAGTTAATAAAATGCTTACTTTCCATATGCTTCAAACAGCAGCAGTAGTAATACAAATAGTAATAATAAAAAAACTACAACACTGTACTTCTTGACATATTAGACAAGAGAAGCTCCTGAGATTGTGTGGTACTTTCTCTCTGCCTAACTCTACACTCAAAGCCTAAGTGAGGCAGCAACTTACTACAGCAGACAAGAAAGAGAAAGTGAAAGTTACTGGGTTTTTCTTTGTTCTCAATGACTTGGCAACACTTTTTTGTCAAGCTGTTATATAGAAAGTACTATTACAGCTTGTACAAACATAAGTTTACATCACATAGAGAACATACAACATCAAATTAGGAAGGAATGTAAATAACAGATGTTAAAAATATCCAACCTTCAAAATAACCAACTGTTTCTAGGTACAGGAGCAGAAAGACAAAGCAAAAACCAAGACAAGTGACATGACTGACTAGAGTTTACTGCTGCATTCACTTTTACTCTCTGTAAAGGCTGTCACTATTTAACATCTGACTTATGATGTACAGTCCTTTTCATGCCTGAAAATTTTACATTTTATCTACAGTTTATTTTTCACTATATTATTTTCAAATTTACATTTAAGTATAAATATTTTACTATATTCTTTATGTGTATTCTGCTTGTACAATTTATTACCTTTCTGTATACTAATTATACATTCAGCCATTTTCAGCCTACTTTCCTTAATTTAAAGAAAATTTATTAAATTGCCATGAAGCCTGTCTCTCTCTTTGTATCCCTCCACCCTGTCTTCTGAAAGCCAGAAGTTGTTCTGTTTATATTACTTTTGGATGGGCCACAGAAAAACACTGCCTCCAATAGCTGAACATTTGTTTCCTATGCAGTCCATGTCATATCAAAGGGAAGCAGGTGATCATGTCTTCACAGAACTTCTTGTTACACAGAGATTCTGGCCTGCACCTTTTGTGCCTACACAATTTAGTAGTAATGCTTAGCATCCTCTTTTCCTTATCAGGTAAAATGGGTGCTTACTAAACTCTGCTGTCAGAACAAAACAATTCCAAGGTTAGAGGAAATCAGAAACATACAGTCCATTCATATCAGACTATGGACTTTACCCTCTGTACCTGCAAACTATGGAAAATAATGTTACAGTATACTCTTATAATGTAATTAAAATATTTCACAGAAACTTGTTAAGACATGAAGCATGTGTAATCACACTGGGGGACATGATCACAGCTGCAGTATATCCAAATGTGAGCTATAATGACCGACTACTGTAACATACTTGCCTTATTCAAAACTCTACTTCAACAATTCAGGGTGTTCTAATGTTAAATGTTTAAGCAGCCTAAATCTTTCTAGACTGAGGACAACATTTGGACCCAAGAAGGAAGACATAATAGGAGGCTTCATGGCTTGAACTCCTCACCAAATTTTATCACAATGATAAAATCATCGAGGGCAAGATGGGAGGATAAATATTAAAATGGATCTTAAAGAAATAGTATATATGGTGTGTGTGTGTGTATGCACTGGATTCATCTGGCTCAGGACAGGGGTCAACAGTGGATGGGCTCTTGTGAACATGGTAATCAACATTTGAGTTTCACAAAATGCTCAGCATTTCTTGAGTGACTGAGAAACTATCAGTTTCTCCAGAAGGACTGAAACCCATTCCATAAGAACATGTACATGATAAACTCCTTCAAAGGTACAAAAAGAGTTCAGAGGGCATGGTCTTTCGGCCACCAGTATATCAAAGTGTTTTATGCACTCTCTGAAATGCACCTGTGACACCCTGCACAATTTCCTGCGATTTCTGTTTTAATTACTGTCGACATTTCTCGAATTATGTTCAATTGTTTAGTTTGATCAACATAAAGTACTACTTGGATTTTAATATATGATTATTCTTTCTCATCAGATATCATGAATAGTCTTGCAAGAAGGTTAGTGGCTCCAATGCTGAATTTTGACAGTATAAAACACAAGTAAGGTAAAGGTAAAAAAAAAGGTAAAGTTGTCCCTGTGCTTAATTAAGCATTATGTCATGCAGGAACATGGGGGAGTGGATGTACAGATCCAAGTTTTCTTGACCTTGACACTAGTTGGAGGTGAGTGGTGAGCTTCATGCCCTGGCCGCTTTACCCCAAGGGAAAGGGCCCCTGATACTGATTGGTGGGTTGGTGGGTGGGCCCCAGAGCCGGTCAGGACAACATGCAGAAGAGAAAATTCTTGGCACTACTGGAACTCAAACTCCAACCCCTCAGTCATCCAGCCTGTAGCCAACTGCTATACTAACTACACTATCCTGGCTACCAATAAATCACAAGTATAAAGGATATAAGTAAGGGAAAGAAACAAACCCAATGCACTGAAGGTAAATAAGTCTGTGGCTAACCTGTACAATAAGAAAAGTTAACTGAAAGGTTCCACTTACCCATGTGAGCTGCCTTCAGCATTGCTTGGCCAAAGTCAATTGCTCCTCCAGATTTGAACATGAGTTTAAACTTTGCTTCACCAACCCAGTTTCCATTTGGCTGGGCTCGGACCTTCCCTTTTATATAGTTTGCTCCAAACATCGGCTGCTCTAACTCAACCTGAAACAACAAGAATTACTGAAACCTCTGTGCATGAGAATCCAATTTTACCTTGGCTACTTTTTTTTTTTTGCATATACTGACCCATATTTGTGCTTGCCTCTTGTATTGCTGTTACTGCGATAATTAACACAAATTATCTAAGGCAACTTCTGCATGCACTGCCATCCACAGTTCACACTTACAGTATTAGAAATTATTCACTTAAAATATTCCAGACCAAAAGGTATAAAATTCACTGAACTATTTTTATGTTATTATATACATCACTTTCGAAATGAGTTATTTCTAGAAATTAGATTAGATGTGTTGTTGCATGTACTGTCTGGTGCAAAAAATACAGATGACACTGGAAACAACAGAACAGTCATAATAATAATAATAATAATAATAATAATANTTTGAGTGGGAAGATGGAGGTGGCATGTACCTCTCAAACACTGGTGACACTGCTCATGCTCACATGGTATGACAACTCAAGATTGGAATTATAATCAAAATTCAGGTCTGTAACTGGTTACAAATTTGTGTTAAAGACAATTATGAATTATTTTACTGATCACTCTACGGTATTCAGGATTCAAGATTATATTTAAAAAAAAATGTAACCTTTGGTAGTTTAGCTTTGTTTTTTGAATTTTAGGTTTTTCAAAAATTCAGGGTGGGGTGGCAAAAACTTGCCCCCCCACAAATAACATACAAAGCCCCAACAGTTTATGTGTGTCTTCCCATGCAAAAAGAGCAAGCACACAGAATTGTGTGCATGCTGGACGCTGACCTGCCAGACACAACCAAATGCTTCTTCACAAAATTACCTTTATCCTAAAAAGTCTGCAGGAAGGCCATAAGGAGCACCTTGACCAACCTTCTGAAAGCAATATTGTCCATACCACTAGCCTGAAAGCTACAGTGTAAAGTGTCATCTGTCAATTCAAGCTCTCAATTTTCTGTTCAGCGATAAAACTTTTGAAAAATACATAACTTTCAATAATGTCGCTCATACATAAAATAATTACACTGTGATAAGACAAAACACACTGATTTTGGGATTTTGTGACTGCAAACTATTAGCCATCCTTTATCATGTAAAATCTGACGTTCTAACGGGAGTGACTATAAAGATGACTGTATTCTTGAATGTGATATCATGTAAGCCAGTCTCTCATTAAAACATGCTACATCAATCTGCTTCTACCCTGATGATGGAGGCAGTATTTGCCTTCAAAATGTTTGTTAATGATCTACCAGACTACACAGCATTACATCCTGCAAGACAGCCTTTACGAAGTCAAATCCTGTCCAATTCACTCATTTTAAAACCAGACTGGGTCAGATTTTGTTTCCATACCAGGAAGAAAGTTTTATGAAAATAATTTTCATCAAGAACCGGAACATATCATAAATACAATAAGAAGCTGTGTAACCAGGAACAGTTTATATGCAACACAACCTTCTAATAAGGGAGTATGCCCCTTTCTTTTTGTAGTCTCAGTACATAATATTTCAAAATGTAGTATAATTAATTTCAGAACATAACACTAAACATAACGCTAATGTGATATAAGAAACTTACATCATTAAGAGTAACAAATGGGAAACTGAAAGACTGCATTTTGTCTCTTGATTCTTTTGCATTGAAAATCATGCGATGAGTGGTTAGGTACAGCCGTCCGTGTTTACTGCCTTTGAACTCTGGCTGATCTTGTCCATGAAATTCCATTGTTACATTATCACAGAACAGCAGGATGCTGAAATAAAAGCAATAATGGCATTTTTATTCTAAATACATAAATTAATGATTTACACAAAGAAAACTTTGGTGTAAATACAGGAATCTGACATGTATGTTTATACTACACATTATATGAGAAAAGGTAAAGTTGTACCTGTGCTTAATTAAACACTATGCCACAAAGGCATATGGGGGAGTGGAGGCATAGCTTCATCATTCTTGACCTTGGAACTAGTTGGAGGTGAGCAGTGAGCTTCATGCCCTGGCCACTTTACCCATGGACAAAGAGCTCATAGTATCCATTGGACAGAAGGCTGAGAGGGCCCTACAACTGGCCTGGACACCTTGGAGTAAAGAAAAATCTTGACCCCACCAGGAACTGAACCCTGGCTGTCCAGCCTGTTGGTATACCAACAGATCTATCCTGGCTCCAGATATTATACAGACTTTCACATAACATGGACACTGTGTTTAATAAAATCCAAGGCAGAATAACTGGATTTTGGGCCCAAATAAAGGACCACACAGAACAATCGTATTCTTATGACCAGGGCCTGGATTTTGATGACACATCATCTTCTTTTCCTTGTATCCTATGCGATACTCCTAAATATATAAATCTCGGATATGAGCTGCTGGTTACAGAAATGTAAATTTTATAGGTAATTTTCTGTCATTTTTTTATATTTTTAGGTTTAAGGTCATTTTTTCATTTTGGGGTATTTTTTGGACTTTTAAGAGCATTTCTTGTCATTGTTGGCCATTTTAGGGAATTTTTCTTCATATGTTTTCTGAAATGTGAATAACATGGAAGCGAAGTGTTCTTTCTTTTCTCCCTCAGGTCATTTTTCTGGATTTTTTGGTCATTTTATAGGTCATTTTTTGAATATTTTCAGGTCATCAAAATCAGGGCCCTGCATATTACATTTTTGGGTCATATTTTAGGTCATTTTTCTGGATTTTTTCAGTCATTTTATAGGTCATTTTTTAAATATTTTCAGGTCATCAAAATCCGGGCCCTGCTTATGACTGACATAAAGAATGATGTTCTGCATTGCATGTGCAAGGAGAATGCAGGATTGAAATCCAGTTTCTCAATCTCTTCCTCTCCATCCCCCTCCTTCCACTGTCAGCATAATCATCCTCTATGCGCCCACATTTCTGAATCCAAAGCGTGTAGTGAACGCAAAGCTATAACAGGCCATGGAGGTCCACAGGGTGGTGATACATTGAGAGTCTCATATTTTCTAGACAATTGGCTCACAGTTGGCAGTGAGGTTTTCAGCCTTACACACCGGCTGCCCTTTGTCCCCAGAAAGATTCCTGGTCCTCATTTTGTTAAAGGCCAAGTCAACCCCTGAGCCATACTGTGACCTTCCAACTTGTACCATAGTGCCTAGTAGTAAAATGATAATCCACAGAATCCTAACAGCTTCTTGCATTTAATTTTGTGTAAGGTTCCGAAAAACCACAGCCCATGATGCTCTAGTGACATTATAAACATGCGCAACAAAAAATGAAATAGAAGTTCTGGGAAGAATAGCCTACTTTCCTTTGATATGACATGGACCACTGAAATCTCAATATATATTTTCAATCCTGTTATTTGTTTTACAGAATAGAATTCTTTTATTACTAATTATGACAGGCATTGGGAAGACCAAGGCGTAGGTGGGTGGACAATATTAAAATCGATCTTAAGAGAGATAGGATGGGATGGTATGGTATGGATTTGATTGATCTGGCTCAGGATAGGGACCAGTGGAGGGTTCTTGCGAACACGGTAATGAACCTTCGGGTTCCACAGAATGCTGGGAAATTCTTGAGGAGCCGCAGAATTGGTGACTCCTCCAGAAGGGCTCAGCTCCATGAGTAATAATAATTATGATGGGCATAATGTACAGAACGGTCATTGTGAAAATTTATATTTTCTTACTTCCTCCCTATCATTGTATCAAAATGGCGTTTACTATATGGGTATTAAAATGTATAATAAATTACCACTTGAATTAAAAGAGCTTGTACAAACGCCTAAAATTTTTAAGTGTTCCTTAAGAAGATATCTGGTTTTGCACTGTTTTCATAAACTGGAGGAATTCTATTGTATACATTTTTCATTTATATTCAGGTTCCTGTAATCATATTCATTTATGTCCTATGTCTGTGTTACATATATTTCATATGATTAATTGGAACATTTGTTCTAAGGGACACATTCTATATCCAATGGTTTGTGAATCTACTTCTCAACCTGTATCTGGATCTGTTTGAATTTGAAATAAAAGAACAAGAACAAGAAAAAGAACTGCATAGAAAACAATGCCTTCAACCATTCTTTGTTCCCATGGGAACGTGTTTACCAAGTGAACCGTTGCTTAGCAAACGATAGGGTGATACGTAGATTCTCTTTTATATGACAGAGACTGTATAGAAAATGATTCCACAAAAATTCTTCTATTGTAGTGTGTATTCGTTGCCGCAGGAACGTGTTTACTGAGCCGCTGCCTAGCACCCAAAGGAGGGATACACTTCAGTGGGCCCTTGCTTTGCAATGATAGGAGGAATACTGGAGACACATACACAGAAACACAAACTGATGGGAGGGATTTATAAAGTCTGCCGTTGAGATGGGCTCAGGTGTCATGATATATATATCAAGTTTCATAAAGACTGGTTCAGGCATTCAAGTTATTAGAAGGGAATACAGACACACAGACAGGAAGGATGGTGATTGTGTAAGCCTACTTTAGGAAGGCAGGTTGATAAAAACTATTAACTAAAATTAATTTTAGGCTTTGGCTCAGGTGTCATGATATACATACCAAGTTTCACAAGGCCTGGTTCAGGCCTTCAAAAGTTATTAGAGGGGAATACAGACACAAAGACAGGAAGGATGGTGATCACGTAAACCTACTTTAGGAAGGCAGGCCAAAAAAAAAAAAACTATAACAAAAAGTAATTTTAGGCTTTGGCTCAGGTGTCATGATATACATACCAAGTTTCATAAACACTGGTTCAGGCGTTCAAAAGTTATTAGCGGGGAATACACAAACAGACAGGAAGGATGGAAATCGCGTAAGACTTCTTTAGGAAGGCAGGCTGATAAAAACTATAAGAAAAAGTAATTTTCGACTTAGTTTCCTTGTTGTGGTTACGAAATGAGTGGTGGTTCAATGCCCAAGCAAATAAATAACACTAGTGGTCTGCATTGCCATATTATACATATTTCTCTTGGGGCAAGAATTTATAATTCTTGGTTTTGTCCACTTGAGATGAAAATATGTAATGAATGGACGCCACAATTATATATGGGGCACAAACTACTTCGGATGTGTTACATCAAATGCAGTTTTCTCAAATGGCACGCGTTTAACCCCGATGTTTCGAACGGTGTCAACGAGGGTCAACAATTTCCAATATAATACAACACCAACATATGATGACAAGCGGCCTAACTACACCGATGCAAAACTGGTAATAAATTTGATTATCAAGTGTCGTAACAACTTTTACATGATACATGCTCACTAAGTCACCCAACAGCGAATTTCATTATAGGTTATACATGTCAGATCTGGAAAATTCTACGCTCATCATATTAATATATTATATAACACATCACTGACCATTCTCCTGCATGTATTAAAACTCCTCCATTTGCGTGCGCTGTATTTAGAGACATTTTAATTAACTGAATGTCAACACACGGATATATATCACTTGAACTATTACACCAAACTAACGACCCTAATGACCAGACGGGCTAAACTTCTCCGTCTCATTCCTCTTTACGTATCATAGATACCGATAGATACCGACATACACATTTGTTTCGTGTCACATGATGATGACGTAGGAGGTGACGCAACTCGCAGATCGCAAGTCTGCGCAAGGAATTTTTGAGCAGAAATCAATGCGAATATTTGGATGACATGCGTGTGGAAGATGTAATATTATTTATATTCTCCCATTTCATCTCCTTTGCGCTCCTTTGTGTACATCAAACCTCAAAACTGTCGCTAATACATCCACGTTAGTATTTATGGAGTGGAAAGTTGGACGGGCAATACGTCCTGCCATCAACTGTGTTCAATTTGTCATTGCTTCGATTGAATTAGTGTGAAGCAAATGAGATAAATCAATACTGAANGTGTCGCTTTACCCTTTAATATATACAATTAAATGTATAGGCAGAATTGTAATATGTACAGCAGCAATACGTCCTGCCATCAACTGTGTTCAATTTGTCATTACTTCGATTGAATTAGTGTGAAGCAAATGAGATAAATCAATACTGAAGAAGAGAAATAAGAATGTAATTTGTTTCACGCATATGTATATATAAAGTCCTTGTTCTTGTAAAGCTGTTGATTTTGAATTCCTCCAATCTGTGATTATGGATGAAAATCTCAGTAGGGGATACATCCAGCTTGGTAAAGCCCGTGCAGCAAATGATTTTCGATTTACAAATGGTTTTAGTCATCTTTCACCTCCAGTTGATAAATGCAATTGTATCTACTTTGCATTAGTTCTAGCAGGTGTTGGTTTTCTTCTTCCATATAACAGGTAATATATCATAGAAACTTACATATTTCAGTAAGACTGCTTGTGGACAACTGATAAAAGTGTAGTAATAGAACTAAAATTGAGCCTATATTTTCAGTATACTAATATATCCATAATTTCTATTTCTTTCATAGTTTCATCATTGCTGTAGATTACTTCCAAGGAAAGTACCCAGGAACCACCATTGTATTTGACATGTCCCTTGTTTATATAGTGATGGCATTCTTTGCTGTACTTGCCAACAATGTCCTAGTGGAGACATTATCCCTGAACACTCGCATCACTTTTGGTAGGGTACCCCATATCTTAATTTTTGCATGAATTTATTTGCATAATATGGTGGCATTTTATTGCAGTACACTGAGTGTATATCTCTCATCATATAAAATAAAACATTACTTTCTCTGTGCTAATAGTTGGTATATTTTGTACAATATTAATGAATGGCTAATAGGTTAACAGGTGTCTGACGTCTGCAGGTAGAAAAAATCTTTTGGGAACAGTAATAATTTTAACGATGTAGTTTTATATATTTGAGCTTGATATATAAAATCTGTGAAGGGTGCTGTCCTCTACAATGTGACACTGTATAATATGGTATAAGTCTGAAAGCATGTTTCTTTTATTGCTAGTGGGGTAGGATTAAGTCCCTTATACTGTGGCCACTTCTGGCCTATTGTACCAGCCCCAGATGATAGGTGAGGGTGATTGTGGAGCAATTGGTGGAATGAAGATTGGCAGGTGAAACCGAAACCAGCGCCACTTTGTCCACCACAAATCCCACTTTACCAGACCCGGGATCAAACCCGGGCCACAGTGGTGGGAAGCCAGCGACTAATCGCTTGAGCTATGGCACTGGTGGAAACATGTTAGTCAAGCAAGCAAAGTTCTGATTGTTTAATGTACCCTTCAACTGTGAAGATGAAGGCAACACATTTCTCTAGAATTGTCAGTGAACTTCTATCAGATTGCACAGTATCAAATGCCAGAAGACAATCACTCTTCATATTCAGCAACCGCCATGAGAACCCCAGATCTAACAGTACAAGGTTTATGTTCCATATATTATACTGTATGAAATAATAAAACAAATTATAAGCAGATTTTCTTAACAACTGAAGAGTCAACCAGAGAAACTGGTAGCTCCAGTGTAGTACATTACATCACTTTTCACATAACATCTCAGTATTTGATTATATTATTATTTGATTATAGATGTATACATGTAATAGATTACATAAGTCACACAACTAAAATAACACACACCAGTTAACTAACATAGGTAATATAAAAAAAAAACAAAACAAAACAAGAGCTTATTACAATTGTAACTAAACATAATTTAAAAAGTGCATTACTATAAAAACTTAAAATTAATATAATTTTCCCATAAATCAAAATACATTGATACAGGACTCGTCATATACATACATACACATCCTCCACTTTCCATAAACATCCATACAGGGAACAAACCCAGGATGTGGAATTAGTCATCAAAGACATACACAAAGTCACACAAGTCACACCGCGAAGATCACCCACATTAATTATCTAGCACATACAACAATACAAGGCAAAAAAAGTAAACAAACATAAGTCACAAGTAGCCACAATACAACTCCTCACATCACCCTTACCAACTATATTAAAATGTGGCGTTAAGCATTCAAATTTATGTGCCTTTGTAATTAAAATACTCATTTAATGTATAAAAAGAGTTAGCATGTAAAAATCTTTTTAGGGAACGTTCAAAGGATTTCTGGTTATTAGATAATTGTTTCAGCTCTTTAGGCAGATGATTGTAGATTTTTATACCAGAATAATATGGACCCTTTTGAACTTTAGTAAGAGAAGTACTCGGGGGAAATAGGTTAACATTTTGTCTGGTACCAATATTATGAACCTCCGTATTTCTTGTGAACAAATGCATGTTATTTGTAGTGTGTTGCATTAAGGAATATATGTATTGCGAACACAAAGGCAGAATTTTCATTTCCTTGAAAGAGTCTCTACATGAATCTCTTTTCTTTAATCCCATCATAATCCTTATAATTTTCTTTTGGATCATAAAAAGTTTCGTCATGTATGAAGAATTGCCCCAGAAGATAATTCCATATGTCATCACAGAATGTATATAAGCAAAATAAATCATTCTTAAGCTACTTAATGATATCATAGGCTTAACTGATCTCATGAGAAAGCAAGACGAACTCAATTTTGTAACCAGGTAATCAATATGATACTTCCAACACAGCCTATTATCAATATTTAGGCCTAAAAATTTAATACACTCTAAGTTAGTTGGTAAATTTTGATCAATATTATTATGCATATTATGATCCTCATAGTTCATTAAAGTGAAATGGAGAGTGTGGGTTTTATGAATATTTAATTTTAGCAGATTGGTTCTGAACCATGTATTAATATTGTAAAATATTCTGGTCATGGCTGATTTGTAGTCAGCGTATTCCGGATTAGTCACAATTATACTTGTATCATCTGCATATAAGAATATGTTTGTTCCATTAATTGAAACCTTAGTTATGTCATTTATATACAAGAGGAAAATAAGTGGGCCAAGAATTGAACCTTGGGGTACACCAAATTTTACTTCTGCCCAACTAGACGAGCTATTAATAGAACTGTTAGGGCCAAGGGTTACTCTTTGATATCTTCCATTCAGGTAAGATTTAATTAAGGCACCAAATTTGCCAGTTATTCCATAAAACTCTAATTTTTTGATAAGTATATCATGATTGATGCAATCAAAGGCTTTGTGTAAGTCGCAAAATATTCCTCCAACAAACTGTCTATTATTCATTGCTTTTAGTATTTCCTCTATTAATTTGAAAGATGCTTTCTCTGTAGATGAATTAGGTCTAAAACCATATTGATTATTGTCCAATATAAGATTATTGTCTATATGTTCATACAATTTATTATAGATAACCCTTTCAAGAACCTTAGAAAAGGCTGACAATAATGAAATAGGCCTATAGTTGGCTGGTTCATATTTATTACCACTTTTGAAAATTGGCTTAACGACAGCAAATTTCATTCTGTCTGGAAACGTTCCCTGGGCAAGGGATTGGTTACAAATGTAAGTTAGTGGCGAAGTTATATATGGCATACTTGCTTTTAAAATTCTAGTGGAAATTTCATCATAACCATGTGAATACTTGGTTTTCAAAGATTTGATTATCTTTCTAATCTCAGCAGTTGAGACATACTGCCATTTGATAGATTTAAAGGTAGACGTGTATTTATTGCCCAGATAGTATAATGGGCTGATGTTGGTTGGAGTTTTGTTATTGTTTAAATCATCTATAATTGTCTGAGCTACTGAGGTAAAATATTCGTTAAGTACGTTTGCAATGCACTTTTTATTCTGTATCATAATGTTATTGACTTTCAGCGACTGGGGTTCATCCTTCTGAGTTTTAGATCCAGTCTCTTTTTTAATAATTGACCATGTAGTTTTTATTTTATTATAAGATTTTGAAATTTTATTATCATAGTGTACTTTCTTAGCCTCTTTAATAACTTTAGTAAGTACTTTACAGTATTTCTTATAATACAGTTTAAAATGTGGATCATCATCTTGTCTATATTTAATATACAACTTCCTCTTTTTTTCACAAGAAATTCGTATCCCTTGAGTCATCCACGGGTTACATTTAAGTTTGGAAGTAATAATTTTCTTTTTTGTAAAACATGAGTAAAAAAGAAAATTATTACTTCCAAACTTAAATGTAACCCGTGGATGATGTATGATATTTCTTTACCAAATTCTCCCTTATCATTTCAGTCTTTAAAGACTCAAATACACTGCATGAGAAGACAGAGTTTTAGCACTTAAAACAGGTGGTACGTAGTAACCAATGAGCTTTAAGGGATTAAATGTTATATGTTACGAAATGATTTTGCTGCTGCGGTGTGATGTGGAGAAAGATTTAATCAAGATCTGCAAAAGGCAGACTTCCTTCTGTCAAAGAACATCACTCTTCTGGAAGGATATAAACCCCTGTTCAATATGACATTCATTAATTAACACATACATACATACATACATTTCATTTCATAAGTCCAAAACAAAATGACATGAAGGTCTTATTGGAATTGTTGGATTTAAGGTTCTGATGGAGGTGGATAAGAAGAGTCCTGCCCTCTGGAGTGTAATGTTGTGTAGTCCAGTGCATCAGTGAACTTTAATGAGACTACTCAGTGTTACATCTCAGAAGATAGTAGACCCACATTCATTTAAAATATTTTGCAATATTTTAAATAATGGAATTATGTGCAGGATATTGTCAGAGAAGGTATTTTTTGTTTTATTTATTATAGTTGTGGAAAAGATTTATTTTTATTTTCAATCTTCAGAAATTGCTCCATAAAGAACGTTTTTCAGCCTATTTTTCATAGTATGAAAGTAATTCCTGTAACCAAAGGAGAAATTATCAATATAATTTGTTCTTTAAAATCAAAGAAGTCTTCTGGTTATGATGGGATTTTATCTAAAGTATTAAAACTTTGTAGCATCTTTATAAGTGCACCCCTTTCCTATATCTGTAATATGTCTATCATTAATGGTGTATTTCCTGAATGCTTGAAGTATGCTGTTATAAAGCCCCTGTATAAGAAAGGAGATAAGGTTGATATTACGAACTATAGACCTATTTCTATGTTGACTGTATTTAGTAAAGTCTTGGAAAGAGTTATGCATTGTAGATTGAGTCAGCATCTACAAGTTAATAATATTCTGGTGCAGGAACAATTTGGCTTTAGGAGAAATTTTTCAACAGACCACGCTGCTTTTTCTTTTACGACTGGCATACTTCAGGCCTGGAATGACAAACTGCAAACTGCAGGGATTTTTTGTGACCTTGCTAAGGCTTTTGACTGTGTTAATTATGAGATATTGACATCTAAACTAGAGTATTATGGAGTTCGGGGTTGTATATTAAACTGGTTCAAATCATATCTATGGGATAGAAAACAGAGTGTGTACATCAAAACTAATGATGGTCAGGACTATTTTTCATCTTGGGAAAGAGTTAAATAAGGGGTTCCGCAGGGGTTGGTTTTTGGACCACTTGTATTTATTATTTACATTAATGATTTGCCTCCATATATTAATAAACTGGCTAAGTTTTTCTTTTTGCTGATGATACCAGTGTTTTGGTTACTGGTAATAATCATGATGAGCTTAAGCACAAAGTCAGGGTACACAGTCTCTTATTATAAATTGGTTCACAGCTAATAAGTTGGCCTTAAATATCACTAAAACTAATATTATTAGGTTTGCTCTAAAACAGTCCTATAACTCTCTGGCAGTTGCTAGTGGGAATTTGTTTATAAATGAAGTTTCTGTGATAACATTTTTGGGTCTGCAAATTGATAAGAATTTAGACTGGAAGAGTCATGTAGAGTATATTCTCCCTAAACTTAGTTCAGCTATTTTTGTAATTAGGAGTTTATCTTATTTTATGAGTAAAAAAATTTTACGAATGGTGTATTTTTCTTATTTCCACTCTATTCTTAAGTATGGAATAATTTTTGGGGGCAACTCAACGAATAATGTTAGAGTTTTTAAATTACAAAAAAAGTAATAAGGATTATATCTGGAGTGGGACCTAGAGACTCTTGTAGGGATCTTTTTAAGAAATTGAATATACTGCCATTGTCATGTGAATACATTCTCTCGTTGATGATGTTTGTGATTGATAAACAAACTAAATTTTGTTCAGGTTTAGATGTTCATGGTTTGAATACAAGAAATCGAAAGCAATTATATTTGCCAAACTCGAATCTTTCTGCTTTTCAGAAAGGTACTATGTTTACTGCTATTAAACTATTCAACAGATTGCCCATAACCATTCAAAGCCTTAAAGAGGATAGAATTAGTTTTAAAAATAGGCTGTTTTTATATCTTATGAATAATTCCTTTTATACAGTTTCTGAATATGTGGAGCATAACATAAACAATTAGTTTTAATTATTTTGTTATCGGTGTGTTTGTTTAAATTTTGTATGACGACCTTCATGTCCATTTGTTTGGACTTGTGAAATGAAATGAAATATATGTATGTATGTAATGACTAGAGCTTAAGTTTATTATACCATTCTTTGTAAGTGAACTAGTTCTGATGCTTGCCTAAACTGGCAAAAGTACTAACACCGGATAATTTTAACTGTTTTTAGTCACAAAGAAATATAATGGTGCCATCCTTCTTGCAGCACCGTGATCAGCAGCTGTTTAAGTTTTGTCTCTGTGCTTGTAATCTGTTTTGAGGCAAGTGACATTTTCGTAATTGCTTAATACCTAATTAAAGTCAAGTAATTATTACTTGACACTGGGAGCTACTTTAACAGTCTTCAGTGGGACCTCCTTATACATCAGATGTTACTAGTCCCACTCTTGTGATGGACCAATGAATGACAAGAACCAGAGTTTCCAAAATTTAAGCTTCATGTAGACTGTGAACTGGGCTGAAGTTACACAAATGGTGACTACTGATTTTTAAATGGTTTGAAATTAAATGTAATAAGGCTTTGAGATCCTGCATCCTCATGATAATTATAATAGTTATAATAATATAATAAAAATTTAACAAAAAACATAATATATTATCATTTTCATCTCATTGAAAATCTGTAACGCAGGTGGTCCTACTCAGAATGGTAGTATGGTATTCAGTTACATAACTGTGTTAGCATGTATACTATGCAGTGATTTTCATTCACTTGTCTGAAAATAATTATGCTTGAAATAATGCTTTATTATTGCTGAAAGAATACCACTTGATAGTTATTGCTGAGTTCAGGGAGGTTAGTGATTGGATGACATTCCTTTGGAATGCTTGCTTTTAAATTGGGAATTGAAATCCAGCAGAATTTTAAATTTGTATGTAACTAGTGAAACACCAGTTGGGAATTTATTTGGAAACCTCATCATTTGTTGTATAGGACTTCCTCATGTTCCTTTTCAGCCCTACCTGTTACTGATTTATGCATCATCACTGGTGTTTGTATAATGACATCTTCCATGAATAACGTATACAAATAGTCAACCATAAACTGTCCTCTTTAGACCCCGTACTACACTTCACATATTGTTATATCTCAGAAGTGAACTGCTGCATGGTGTGCACATGAGTGATGATCTTGGGATAAGAGATAAAAAAAGGCTGATGCATGTGAAAATGAGCAGTTTCAATTATTCAGAATATCTGGGGGTAGTAGTCACAAATATGATCCAAGATTGTGGAACAGGTGTCTTTTTTATTAGTATTTCAATTGTAAGACACAACACATATCCACATTAGAATATTATCAATGCTCATAGATTAGACACATACACTGAAATAAAAGACTGCATACTTGTTCGTGACCTACAACATAACTTATATACATGCAACATGTCAATATTTGACATTTCATTGTTATGGTAATTGCATGACAGTGATAAATCTCTTGCTCACAAAACTTATATATTTCTTAAAATAGCACATTTTCATTATATACTGAACAAAGATAAAGATATGAAATGTGTTTGTTCCTATGTTGTAAAGGTATTTGAAGTGGATATTCTTTTATGTTTCAGGTTACCTCGTTTCTTTCTTCACACTGTTCTTTGTGGCAATATGTGAAATAGGACTGGATATGTTTGAAACCAGCACATCTTATACCATAAACCTAATTGCAGTGGCTGTTGTGGCACTTGGCTGTACTGGTAAGACACTAAGCTTGGAATTTTAAACAGTGAAGTCCCATTAACATCATTTAAGGGTTCTATGAGGACCAGTGGTTTTGAGAACTAATCTGAGGAAGATCTTTAATGCAAAATATGTGACACTGAGATTACCGATTTTGAATCAGTGAAATTGAACATTGAATCAGAGAAAACATTAAACCGATGACCATTAAATGGGCTGTCCTAGAGGTATAAAGAATGGAGTAGCTAGGTACTATGTGGACAGTGCAGGGAAGTAGGTATGAAGGGTATAATAGTTCTGACAAATCTGAATGAGAGGACAAGGAAGGAGAATTTCAAAAGAATAGAGGAGTGCCAGATATGGAGCAAGAAATGTTAGTAATTCATGTCATTCAAGAACAGTGCTACAAATGGCATTATTATTTTAATTGTATTACAGTTTGTGTTGTACAGTCATTTTATGAGGCTCTCAGCTAAGTAGTTTCTGTAGTTTTAGATGCAGTGCTTTCTTCAGCCAGAAAATGCTGGTATGCTTACTGGTAAGCAGTTTCCATGTGCTGGAGAGTGTTTCTACACTCAAAAGTCATCAATCTGCTGGAGTGTTGTATGTTTTGATCTTAGAGATAAAACCAAGCATGAGAATACTGGCAAATATGTTTTTAGGAGAAAGAAAAGCCTCCATTTATGTGTGTTGTTTTTGCACATTTTTGACAAATTTTTTACAGGTCTATTTCCTTTCATCAGCTTTTGCTAACAAATCTTGACATTTTCATTGCATGATACATAAATATCTAGGGAACACAAACTAATTTCTGATGGGCTGTAACCAGAATTAAACTTCATGTCTCAAGAAATATCACTAAGAAATAAATTATATGGTACATACAAGTATATAGCTAGGCAAAATATTTTAATCTAACCTTCAGCATAACTAACTAACTTCAAGGAGCTGAACCCTTCTTGAGAAGCCACCAATTGTGCAGCTACTCAAGAACTTCCCAACATTTTATGAAACCTGAAGGTTTATTACTGTTTTCAAAAGAGCCCTCTAGGGGTCCCTATCCTGAGCCAGATCTATCCAGTTCATACCATCCCATCCTATCTAAGATCCATTTTAATATTATCCACCCACTTACATCTTGGTCTTCCTAGTGGTCTCTTTCTTTCTCACTTTCTCACACATATCCTATATGCATTCACCCTCTCCCGTTTCTTGCTACATGTCTTGCCCACCTCATTTTTCTTTACTTGATCATTCTAATTATACTTGGTAAAGCGTGAAAGTTATGATCATATTATATTGTAGCATCTATTGCATTTTTCTGTTGTGTAAATTAGTTTGTTACAGTCTCATGTGCAACACTAATGTTAAATAAAATTCGTTATAAGATTTTCACTTTAATAGTTTTCAGTACGTGTTTCAACCAGTGTGGTCATCATCAGGTGTTTAAATTACTGGATGAGGAAACTGCTGTCTTCTGTTTAGTTGCTTAGGTTGTTAATTTTTAAGTCCCCTCAGTGCATATATGTTTTTTGATGGTGGGTTGTATTCCCTTGTGTTGTATGTTGTGCTGTGTCTCTTGTTTTAAAAAATAAATCAGTTTGCTATTATTTATTTGTTTCAGTACAACAGTCCAGTTTCTATGGCTACACAAGTATGTTACCAAGCCGCTACACTCAAGCTGTCATGGCCGGGGAGAGTAAGTATACTGCATGTATAGCCTGTATATACTTTGCTACAAGTTCACCAGTTCAGAAAATATTATTCAATAAAATTCTAGACTTAAATAATATTAATGTTGTATACGAAATAAGAAAACGGAAGGCTGATTGGATTGGTCATATCTTACGTGGTAACTGCCTTCTAAAAGAAGTTATTGAAGAAAAGACAGAGGGGCGGATAGAAGTGGCCAGAAGACGAGGAAGAAGATGTAAGAAGATGCTGGATGACTTTGGAGAGAGAAGAGGATATTTTTATTTGAAGGAGAAAGCTCTAGATGGCATCAAGTGGAGGAACTGTTTTGGAAGAGACTGTGGACCTGTCGTCTTGACAGATTACAGATGAATGAATGTTAGGAACATATACCATACAATCAGCCACTTTCAAGCATGCCTTTGTATATGTATAGTAAATGTGTCAGTTTTCTGTAAGTGGATTCATAAATGCTGCTAGAGTAAATATCAAGGAAACTGTGTATTGATATTAAACATTTGAAATCTCATAAGTGCCTCAATACTCCATTTCTGTGAACTATGTACATATAGCTTCCCCCTGGACTCTCCCTGGGCCAGTTTTAATTCCTGCAGTGCCAAACCACCATTTTAGGTCATCAAAACTACTCTTATTTTATGAGTAATACATACTAATACATAAAAAACTATCTTTATAACTTGTACACTTTGCCAAGTATAATTAGAATCATCAAGTCAAGGAGGATGAGATGGGCAAGGCATATAGCACGAATGCGAGAGTAGAGGAATGCATATAGGATACTGGTGGGAAAGACAGGAAGGCAGAAGAGACCACTGGGTAGACCAATGCATGGGTGGGTGGATAATGTTAAAATGGGTCTCAGAGAGATAGGAAGGGGTGGTATGAATGGATTGATTTGGCTCAGGGTAGGGACCAGTGGAGGGCTCTTGTGAACATGGTAATGAACCTTTGGGTTCCATAAAATGTTGGTAAATTTTTGAGTAGCTGCATAACTGGTGCCTTCTGAAGAAGGGCTCAGCTCCAAGGATTTAGTTAGTATATAAAAACTCCATGAGATATTCAAATGAAGAGAATAAAATTCACAAATTTTTGTGGACTAGAAGTCAGATAAAATGCCAATAGCTGTCATATGCAGTCAGATATGGCGATTTTTTAAATTTTTTGATACTTGTAGGGTTACATTATCACACTATTTTAGACACTGTCTCTCATGACTATAAGGGACAGGCCACTTAATGCAAGTGAAACATCTCCCTTATACCCATTCCGTTCATACATTTTGCAACTAGATCTTAACAACTGCCTTCAGAGCAGTGTGACAGAATTGGTTATTCTGCTGTCCAGCTCAAGAAAAGACAAGAACACAGCTCCATAAGTATTTTGGCAAGAGTGAAGACTTCATGTTTTTCTGGAGGAAGCTTAGAACATTAAATGCCATATGTAGGTAAGTCAATAATTAAGTTACACATGGATATAGAACAAATAAGAGTACTGATTTGAAAAATGCTTTTATTTCTCAACATAATCTCCCTGTATATTGAGGCATGTGTCCCATCTTTTCACAAGCCCCTTGAAAACCAGCAGCATAAAGTTCTTTGGGCTGCTGTTGGAACCAGGCAGTGAATGGGATTATGAAGGCATACTGTTCACCGCATTCCAGCCTCAATGACAAACCGTAAATTCTGACTCCTACTGTAACATCCTCAGGAAACTTTGTAAGACCATTCAACGGAAGCGACCAGGACTCCTCACCAAAGGCGTGTTGCTCTTGCATGACAACGTGCGTCTCCATACTGCCAACAAGGAAAATGAGACGCTGCGAAATTTAAAGTGAGAAGTCCTCGAGCATCCTCAGTATAGCACTGACCCTGCTCCAAGTGACTTCCATTTGTTCAGCCCTCTTAAACATCGTCTTTTGGCTGAACATTTTCCCGACAATGAAGCTGTAGAAAGGGAAGTTGCTGCCTGGTTCCAACAACAGCCCAAAGAATTTTATGCTGCTGGTTTTCAGGGGATTGTGAAAAGATGGGACAAGTGCCTCAATGTACAAGGGGATTATGTTGAGAAATAAAAACATTTTTCAAATCAGTACTCTTATTTGTTTAAGTTCTGTATCCATTTGTAACTTACTTATTGTCTTACTCATTTTTGATAGACTTAGGGAATGAAAGGTAAGTACTAACTATAATTCCAAGGAATATTACTTAGCATTTTCAGATTCTGTTCTGTTTCAAACTACTCATGTCACTTTTCATTTCCATTCCTGCAGATAATGCAGAGTGCAAAGTCAGTCATGAAAATGAGAGACAGTCAACCCCTTATCTGTTTCCATTAAAATCTGTTAGTAACATAAGGCAAAAATTTGACAAATTGTAATAATAATGTGTTTCTTCATGTTACATGTGTTACATATAATTATAGAAACATGGCCCCATTTTCATACATAGAAAGATTTTGAAACCTGAAAAACCACACAATGTGTAAGACTTTGGTGCAACATGTTAATTTCATGAAAAGATTGTCAGCTATATTTTGTGGACTGATGGGAACTCTTGTGTAGCTGCTATAAATAAACAAGAATACTCTTGATGCCTCCATGTTCAGGGTTCAAGTGAGAAGAGCAGGTAATTGTTTGTGTATATATAGCTTTTGGTCCAACTGAAAACCATAGGGGAGGAGTCTTGCAACTTAATCAGTCATGAGGCCCACAGGGCCCAGAATCAAGACTGACTCTGCTGATGAGCACTAGTAGCAGTTTATCCAACCCAGCACAGAAATGGTGGTAGTTGGTGTCTGGTTAAAGGAAATAGGTAGGGTGGGTAGGAAGGAGGTAGCAAATGGACTTTGTTTTATTCCTTATATGCTCACCTACCATATTGAATTTGACCCTGAAGATGGCTGCACCTTTTACATCAGGAACATTATCAACTCTGCCCATGTCCACATGGCACAAAGACCCAAAAGCAGAATAACATTAACAATAAACCAGTGTGAAAGCCTGTTATTAGTAAGTGTGAACTCTTGTTCATTTGTTCTCAAATAAAAGTTTTCTGGTTGAATTCCACTAAAATTCCATGCCTTTACCCACAGAGAAAACAGTAAGTTCCAAGAATGGTGTATATCGTGTACATGCCTTCAAAGTGTAACAGAATAGAGACTTTTCATTTAATGACCTACACATTAACAGTTAGTTTGCTTGTGATTACAGGTGCTGCAGGTTTCTTGGTATCTGGTAATCGTATCCTAACAAAGCTCCTGCTTGATGATCCAAAAATCAATACTATCATCTTCTTTGTGATGTCTATTGGAATTGTGGCACTGTGCTTCTGTTTGCATCAAGTTGTACGAAGAACTGATTTTGTACAGTTTTATATCACACTCTGTCGTGAATCACACAAGATTGTGCTGGAGCCAACAGAAGATGTTGGTTTGGTAAGAAGTGTTATTTCTTTATAATTTTATTTTATACTTTGTAGCAGGACTTTCTTTTTAATCTAATTGTAAAAGACTCTACTTAGGAGTCTCCTGATCTCAATAAATAAAAGATAAAGTTGGCCCTGTTCTTAATTAACACCACTTGAGGAAGATATGTGAGGGAGTGGAGTATGGTTCTGCACATTCATAACTTTGGCATAGATGGAGGTGAATGGTCAGCTTCACACCCTGGCCATCTTACCCCTGAGAAGAGACATTTTCATGAATAGATTGAGAAAATGATGAAATATCTGGGTCAGGAGAGTCAGTGTGTGGCTGGGAATTGAACTAGGGACCTCTGCATACCTCTCAGTCATTATATTTGTGTAGAAAACTGTATCAGGGTATTTATTTATGGTTTATTTAATGACACTGTCAGTATTTCTGTCTGTATAGTGAACCATGGTAGCTTAATTGGTATAGCAACAGAATGCTAGGGTTCAATTCCTGGCAGAAACAAAAGATTTTTCTCTCCTTCACAGTGACCAGACTGGCTCTGGGGCCCACCCAACCACCTATCCAATGGCTGTTGGGATCTCATTCCCAGGAGTGAAGTGGCCTGGGGTGTGAAGCTAACCACTCACCTCCATTCAGTGCTGAGGCAAAGAATGGTGGAGCTCTACCTTCACTTCCTGTGCGTCTTTAAAGCATGGTTCTTAATTAACTAAGCACAGTGAGAACTTCACCTTCATAGTATCAGATGGTAGGATAAGTGAATAATAGAATTGATACAAATGGGGAGACAATCATGACTAAATGAGAGATATTAGCTCACCATTAGTCTGGAAGGATGGAGGAAAACCTTAAAAAACCCAATCAGGATAGTTGGCTGAGATCTGAATCCGACATCTTCTGAATATTAAGTGAGAAGAGTTACTGCATGAGCCAATTTCCTCAGAAAGGAACTGAATAAGCATGCAGTTCTCATATTGGCATAATGAAGTGTTTTTGCTGCAGATGGATCCATTGGACCAAGCCGATGGCATGATAAAGAGTCAGTATGGTGTGCTTAAACTGCAGCAGAGCCCTCTAGCAACAGATTCTGGAACCAGCAGTTCTGACAATGCAGCAGCAGCAGCGGCAGCAGCTGCTGCTACAGGACATTACTCGCCGTTCAGCTTCTCAAATCCAGTTTATGAGCCCACAGCTGCCAATGCACCTGGCTCTGGAGGAGCTGAAGGTCCAACCTATAAAGTAGAGGATGTTGTTATCCGCATGAAAAGTGTGTATGGATCCACCCAGGGAAAGGCTTGGGGTGGATTGAAAAGTGAGTTCACATGGGTTCACTGCTCACTCATTTTTGTTCTGTTTATTCTTTCACAGTTGCATATACTGAATGTCCCAGGAGGAAAGGGTCAGTATTCTGGGTGGTCATAGTGTTGGTCATTCTGAGCAAAAAAATGCAAATGTACATGTGTTTTATTTTGAATGGTTTCTGAGGCAGAACTATTTCACTGTACACTGTACAGAGGAGCAACACGCTATGTCCTCACACGAGTTGCAAAGTGCATTGATGCTCATGGTGAAATTTTCAAAAATGCATTATACTAAGTAAGCTGTACCAACTTGGTCACTTGAACAATGAATACTGGTATTAGAAACAGCATGTAATATCTCTTTCTTATCAACAATTTTTGGAACTCTGCAATGAAATAGCTCTTTCTCAGAAGCTGTTTTGAATAGGGCTGATGTACATATACAATTTTTTGCTTAGAATGAATGATGCTATGACCTCCCAGAATATTGACCTCTCCTCCTTGAACATTCTATATAATTCTTAATTTAACTGAATCTGACTATCACACCAGAAACTCTGAATCTGTTCATTTTAATAAATAACATTTTGTAATACTGGCCATTGTTTAAGGTTTTATAAAGCTACAATAATATTTAAAATTAAAGAAAAAAGGGAGTCTTTAGAAATTCAGAACATTGAGCTTTGAATATTGGAGTTCACACATTGGTCATTAGCTTCATAATAACATCTCTTTGGCATGTGTCCAGTTTGTAGAAATAGTCAATGAAACTTCTTTTTCCTGTGACAGGCAAACAGATTGGTAATTGTTACAAAATATACTTTTTTTTTACCAATTCCATATTTTGACCCACTTATAGGTCATCTTCAGTTGGCGTAAATATAGTTACACTAAAGGAACAATAAGACAAAATATGTTCTATGGTAATTAAAATCACCTTAGATAATATAAGTAAGGCTTAGACTGGAATTATGGACCATCCCTAGTACTCATACTCAACTTTTCCCATCTGTCCTCACTGTATAAGAGATCAGCATGAAAATATATCTTGAAGAATGAGAATTTGAAGGGTGGATTGGATTCCACTGGCTGATTATAGGGTCATATAACAGTCTTTTGTCAATACGAGTCATTGAGTTATGTAAAAGTAAAGAATTTCTTGCTGTGCTGAAGTAAGTTTTAATTTTTGTAAGAAAATGCATAAAAATTTAGTTTGTTATTATAATGATTTCTTTATCACATTTTGCACCTCTGTTCCAGGAGGCTTCATAGCACGATGGGAAGTAGCAAAGACCATCTGGCCGTACATGCTGTCTATTGGACTGGCATATTTTGTTACCCTCTGCCTGTATCCAGGCATTGAGAGTGAGATTATCAGCTGCAAATTTGGCAACTGGATGCCTGTAATTCTCATGGCAGTCTTCAATGCTGCTGATCTTGTGGGGAAAGTACGTACACTACTTGTATAAATACATTTACAGTGTATTTTGAAGATAAATATTTGCTACTTTATCAGACCAGATATTAGTTATTAATTATTTCACTTTTTGCTAGCAGCCAAGTGTTTACTGCTATCAGAATAGAGATATCAGTGGGGAGGTAAACAGGGGGAAGGCATAACAACTTTCTGTATGCTGTGGTGGACTGCCCACCTACATCTCTGTTCTGACTGACAGTACATTGTAATACATTTAAACGTTTTGAAAGTATGTCACTAATTTCTTAATAAAAGCAGGGGTTTGAGTCTGGCCTTGCCCGGCTCAGTGTACTGTTTATTCCATAAGAGTGTATACTGCCATGCTGTGCACCCGGTTCTTTCTTTATTTCCCCTCTCCTCCAATGCAGTGTTTAGCTGTGCGCCTATTTGACACTTATTTGGGATTTAGATTTCAAGGTGTTCATTTCTGTGGCAAGGTCCTTGATTTGGCTAGATGGAAATTTTGGTGATTAGATAGAGGCATGTGAGGCATGTGTCTTCTTTTGAAATCTAAGTTTGGTCTGTGTTTCTAAATTTTGGTCTTGGCTGTTCCTTTGAGTTTATTCATGTCTGCCAAATCTCCCTGGCTTGATAATGTGTATTTCTCATTTAGTCCTACATTTAACCTGCTGCATTGCTTATTTAAACCATGCCAAGGCCAGTGGTGGGTTACCTTGTTCAGCTGTGTGTCACGGCCTTTTTAATTCTGTATCATTTTTAATTTAACAATTGCATGTCTATTGGACCCTATTTTTACAGTACCACTGCTTTAATTACTTCCTTGTTTTCCAAACCTGGGATAATCTCCAGTGGTGATCAAGAGAGGCTAGGAGAGTGCTAGGTTATCTGTTGCCACATTTTGTTTGCCCTTGCCCAGGAGAGGCCATGTTTTGGTTTAGGAGTATCATAAGTTCTTATTCATTTTGGCAAATGTAAAGATGTTCTCTTGCCATGATATATAGGGGAGTGGATGTGTAGATTTATGCATTCTTAACCTCAGCTCTAGACGGAGACACCCTGGCTGATTACTCCAGTGGAACGTCCCTCTGATATGCACTGTGTAGAAAGCTCTGTGACCCCTGAAGTCAGTTTGGATGCTGTTCAGAGTGGTAAAAGTCCCTTTCCTCTGTCATGAATCCAGCCCTGATTCCTTGACAACATGGCCCATAGTCCATTACTATTCTGACTGAGTTATTCTGGCTCCATATTGACTGTAATAGCTGGAATACTTAAGTTGTTTTATAGGTGTGGAACTTCATATCTCAGTTGAAGAGAGAGAACATGGATTTAGTGTCACTGAGAAGAGCACTGTCTTCTGAGATGTCATGTTGTGATGTAGTTACAGACATTTTGGAGGAATATACTACTTCCATTATCAGGGTAGATGAGGAAGATGGAGGTATCACATTCCCACAGAACACAGGCTCCTATCAACCAGACTGTATGGCATAACATCCCAGAAGACAGTAATCATTATTTGAGCTTGTTTGAGAACAGGATGCTAAGGAGAATATTGGAAAGAAATTAGCATAAAACTGGAAAAAATTACATAATGAGGACATTCGTAAGTGTATGCTTTGCCTGACATTGTCAGGGAAATCAATTGCTGGGGAATGAGATGACCAGGGCATGTAGCCTGCAAGCTGGAAATGAGAAATGGGTAAAAAATTTTGGTGAACTTCAAGAGAAGAAACCACTTTTAGGCATGTAAAAATAGATGGAAGGATAATATTAAAATTTATTCACAAATAGTGTGTGATGGTGTGAAATGGATTCAGCTGACTCAGGATAATATCCAGTGGGCTCTTGTAAATATGGTAGTGAACATTCAGTTTATATGGAGTTACACTGTTGTCTTGACTTGTTGATGTTGACAGGTCCTGGCATCAGTGCCGTATGACTGGTCACGGCCGCAGCTTATTGTGTTTGCGTGGCTGCGTACATTATTGGTACCCTTGCTACTGCTGTGTGCTACTCCTCGAGGTGATCCTCTGATCCCGGGAGAAGGATACCCCATGTTATTTTCTTTGCTTCTTGGAGTGACCAATGGGCTTGTAGGCAGTGTGCCCATGATCCAGGCTCCTAGCAGAGTTTCTGAAGAACATAGAGAACTCACAGGTAATCATGTGTTGTGTCAGTTTCATTCAATAAATTGATGAGTAAATTTTATTTATTTGCTAGGGGCACGCAGGAGCTTAGATGGTTCAGCACTGTGCTACAAGCTGGAATGTCATGGGTTCGATTCCCAATGAGATCATCAGATTTTTCAATTGATCTAATAACTAAATTGAAAGCCTTAAAAAAATATATTACAATACTAGCTGTGCCCGGCCACACCTTGCTGTGGCTCAGTCTGCCCGTTCTTCCCCAGTTAGATTTGAAATTACTCGACGCATTGCTTCTGCTCCGCGAGTACAACGACTTAAGCTTGTTCTTCTGCGAGGCATTATTTGGATGAACTAAAGCAGAACGATTGCACAGAAGAAGAAGAAGAACTTGCAGTAACAAAACTAATTCTATTTCGCTTAGCTCCTGGCCCAGTGCTTTGCTGCCTATGTTGTCGTGGCTGGATCTTGACTGTCTCTGGCAGCGGCTTCCTGTAGACTCTTTATATTCGGCGTTTCCATGGAAGTATACTTTCTGGTTTCATCTGTTGTTATGCAACGGTCTGCTCTAGAGTTAGTTTCATCTGTTGCTTAGGAAATGCTAGCACAGAACACCTTGTAGAAGTGTTTGGTTTCATCCATCGTTACGCAACAGAACCTCAATTCCTATGCAATGGCCCACTGTTATTGCGTTTCCATGGAAGTTTACTTTCCGGTTTTATCCGTTGTTACGCAATGGAACCTATGCAACAGTCTGTTCTAGCGTTACTATGGAAACGACTCCTGGATTCTGAACATGTGACATGTTTTTACCTGTTTTTACCTGTTACAGGCGTGACATCTACATAATAGGTATATAAAAACACGCGCGTATTCGAATGCAATGTTCTTTCAAAATTTCGAAGCAATCGGTGAAGAACTTTCGGAGATCTTCGACCAGAGACAAACCAACAGTTACATTTTTATTTATATAGATTGTCTATCCTACCTCCATTATCCAGTGAGTCTGCCATGTTCTGGCAAACCATGATTACTTGACTTTCACATGAATGCCCTGGCCTGAATCCATGTTGACCCTTGGATAATCAATCTATTTTATCCCACGTTTTCCTCAGTTATGATGCAATAACATGTTCCATTTGCGTGCAGACCACTGAGGTTTAACTGAGAGGTCTGTAATTTGAGACCAACGATCAGTCACCCCCCTTGTAAATAGGAACCTCTATGGCCTTTTCCAGTCACTTGGGTTAATGGTATTATTAATTGTTATGTCCAGTAATTATGCAAGGCATGGAATCATGGCCAGAAATGCTGTCTGGCCTTACTGACTTGTTTTTACCCATCGCTGCTAACTTTTTCCTAATGATTTTAGTACTACTACACAAACTAGATATACTGTAGTCAAGGAAGAAATCCACTGTTGGAAAACAGATGTAATTTTCTGGCTTGAATGATTATTATATTGTGGCATATTGTTATGTGTTCAACCATTGCTAGGCAACAAAGTGTTAAACACATTCCTGCAGAAGCTAACATGCAGAACAATAGGATGTCTGTTGCTAGGCAATGAACCAGTAACACATACTTCCATGTAGGCAGTGACATCACACAACAGTGGATAGAGACCACATGACATGTTATCTTTAGGTCCACACTGAAGGTTTATAAGGGACAACAAAAGTCGTTTTGCAGTCAGTCATAAGCTGGAGGAGTGATTAATAGATGGAGTTTTAGTGGAGTTTGAGGTTCCAGTTTGATTGAACAAGAAATGGCATGGGAATCCTAGTGCGTGTGTAATAGTGGACTGGAAAGTGTGTAAATCAGCGATAGAGCTGTACTAATTGTAATTAAGAGAGAACTTATAACCAAAGTGGTAATAAATCCAATCAACTGATCCAAACCCATCATTTCATGAGATGTACCGGCCAACACATGACAATATGTATGAGAATTTAATAATGCTTATTTCAGGTAACATCATGACACTGTCTTACAACATTGGTCTTACTGCGGGATCTCTTGTGGCATACTTATTGGATGCAATTTTGGGTCCATCACACCCCAACACTTGTAAGCCAGGGGGGCCATCGTTAATGAGACCAACACCAGATACAAAAATTCCACAAGTTGTAAGTACAGTTACTATGGTGACGCCTCTATTGACAAATCTATCATCTGTTGTACCCACTGAGGCAGGGTCTAGTATTGCTCCAAAGCAGCTTGTTGGACTTCTCAATACTACAGTTGCTGCCACCACAACAACAGCGCCAACAACCCCTTCAACTGCTGTTACTGCCACCGTCCTAGCTACCACTGTCCTGGGGATCGCTGTGCATACCTTCTCACCTGAACAGTTCACGCCAGCTCCCACCGCCATTATCAATGGTACTTCTAGTTCTGGACTTGTTACCTTCAACACAACTTTCACAAAGTAGGTACTGTGGTGAGTGTAGTGAAATACAGATTTACAATAGACTCTCAGATTATCTGCATAGCAAGATTGTAGCAAAATTTCTGAAAGACAGAAATTAATTCACATTGTATACTGTGAAAACAGAAGAGAATAATTTCGTTGATAATTGTAATTTACATCATGCCATTGCCATTAGCATGAAAATGCAATTGCTTATTCTTCAACATTCTAGTTTTCTTTTGAATTTTCGCCAGTAATACATCATAATCTGTTATGTGTCATACAAAATGCTTCCATGTCCACACTTCTGTGGTCTTGTTGCTAGGAGATGATATGTGGTTTCTAATGCATACGGTGATTTATGTCCATCACTGTGTCATTACTAGGCATCCATGTACAGTTTGATGCATGTCCACTGCTGTTTTATTGCCATTCAGCCATGTATGATTTAATGTCCACATCCGCATGAGAATGTACTCTCGACAGGGTTTATGGAAGGCGAATAAATGAAATGAAATGAAATGTATGAAGTGATCAACATGTGGCTAAGGAGGAGAGATTCGGTTAGTGCGTGCCTGCTTGAGCCATTCCCGGTATAGAGGGAATGACCAGTAGAAATCAGAGCCCTCCTCTTGTTGAAGAGAAGGCCTCATTTCAAAACATCTAAAGGTCTTGAAAAGATATGGTGATGGGTCCCTATGAGACCCAAAACCAGGGAATACTTTGCTGGCAAGGGCAGGCAGCAGTTTAACTGGCCAAGTGTCCAACTGACCATGTAACCAGTGGCTAAACATAGAACATGTGTGTGTTATGATAAGAAAGAACAATTCAGGGTAAATAAGCATGTTACTGTATATTTTTGTTCATGAATATGAATTGATAAGTAAGAATAATTCAGCATCTCTTCCTTACACCGTTCTAACTTATATGCGTCAAGATTGTAGTCTTTTGGGTTGTGATACCATGTAGTCTTGTGGGTTGATATTGACCTTTCTGAGGAATATACTGCCTCCATTGTCAGAGTTGAGATTTTAGATTCTGGAATTGGTTCAGTTATATAGGCAGGTTCAAGAAATATATCATGAGATGCAGAAAAGCCCCTGATCTAGACCAATGAGAAGTGAGAAGTAAACAATCCTTTTAAGTAGGACACTAGTTTATCATTTCATGTGGGAAATGGGATACAGAGGTTCCTTCTATGGGTCCAGTGTTGTGTACAAGAGGAAAGGTGGAATTATGAGAGAAAATGGAAAAAGATGGAAAAAGGAAAAAGACAGGGCTCCAGTAAGGTTTTTCACTGGAAAGAACTTTGAATCCAAGAATTGAGAAGAGAGGCCCTTTTCAGGGCTCTTGCTGATGACATGCAAGGAAGACAGCACTACCATCCCCCCCAGCCACTTGAGGGCTCGAGTAGAGGAATGTCATTTAGGAGCTTTTCCTTGGAGAAGAACTTCTTCTTCTTTTCTTGAGGTAGTGGACAAAGTTGGCACTAACTTCACCAACAAACGGCGGTCGCTCAGTCGGTATAGTTCGCTTGCAGACTACAGGCCACGGAGTTTTTATTTTATTTTATTTTAATTTTGTTTTGTTTTAGTGGATGAAGCTACACACTTTAATTAACCCTGAACATGAAGGCAGCATTTGTCTCTAAAACATCGGTAGTCACTTACAAGACCATACAGTGTCATAGCTTAGAAGAGCATAATCTTAAGGATCACATCCTTGAAAACCTCAGAACTTCTCAGTTAACAGAGTACTCTGTTACTGCTTATGGGTTGGAAAGCAAGCCAAACAAGTCTTTTGGTGCAAGCATAAATATTATGTACTCCTGCCATGAGTCACAGGCAAGAGGATATCCACAAACCAAACCAGTTGTCTCTTCCTTGAATCTGATTGACACTGAGATTATGGTGTGCAGGCAGTACTGAGCAACTTGTGTTCTTAGTTGTGTGGGGCTCTTAAGTGTAGTTCTGTTTGTCATTACTCTGATGACAGCCCACTTCTTCGGAACAGTTTGTTGGTCCTGAAAAGGGCCGTGGTTGCTGAGATGCTTGATCGGAGAGGTAGCGCGGCACGTGCCGGTAAGGAGAGAGGCTAGTTGCAGTGAGTGGACTGGCCGCAGTACGGCCATGGCTGGAGGTTGCTTGGTTGCTGTGCGGCAGCGTGAGTTGGAGGTTGCTTGATCGCAGTGCGGTGGCTGCTGGTGAAAGGCTAGTCATTGAGCGCGGTTGTAGGAGTTATGAGGCAGTGGCTACGCCAGATGCCCAGTGGGTCGGACAGTAACACGACCATCGGCGAGTCCAGGCGCGGTGCCCCAGTGAGTCGGGTGTGAGATAGCCGGAGGGCCGAGGCAGTCGTGCCTGGCGCAGCCTGCTGATGCCTCCGAAGACCGAGCGCTGGCGACGAAGCCTGCTGACTGATGTTGCTTGGTGTGGCTAGCTCGTAGACTGATGATGAACTGAATACTCGGCGTTGGAGCTGCCCCTTTTTATACACTGCTCGGTGGGCGGAGCGAAACTTGAAATTGAGGAGGAAGACTTGATTGGCTAGCGCGCGTAATGGTGTAGATGCGGGCTAGCAGTGAGTGCAGTATAAATGCGAACGTTTGAAGCAATCTGATTGGTTAGCGCGCGTGATGGTGAAAAGTGATGTGAAGAGCGAGCGTTGCAGAAATACGTGATAATGTGGGATGTTCCCACAGTTGAAACATGTGCTGAAAAGTCATCCTATGGAATATGCCATTTTAAATTTTGTGAAGAATTTCCTGATGTTAATGTTCCCACCATGTCGATGATAGAGGGATTAGTAAGGAAAATTTGTAGTGCAGGATCATTGTTGGACAAAAAGAAGAATAGGAAATGGAGTATACTGACAGATGATAGATTAAATGAAACATGAGTCTTCCTTAGAAATATGTATAATGAAATCTTTGAACAATTAGCTGCACAATGTGGCATGTAAGTGGGATATGCTCACAAAGCAGTGAGACTACTGAGATTGCAATTGCATAAGAGAATGGCTGCTCAGAGACTCAGTAATCCAGAGAGTGACACTTGTTTCTGCAGTTGGTTGTTGGGTTCCATGCATGATTGAACTAATAATCCAAAAGTGTTTTCTTGTAACGAAGAAGAATGTCTACATTTGGGCAGCTATGTCAGCACTTGGAACAACTGCTGCTGGAGGTCAGAAAATCCACAAGAATTGTGTGAACATCCTCTTAATGACATTAAGGTTCACAGCTGGTGTGCAGTTACCTCAAAGAGAATAATTGCATCATTATTTATAATGGAACTAAAGAATTGTTATATTTTTATTACGAATCTGACAGATGAAGAAGAGACTTATGTTTACTTCATGCATGACAGTGCTACAGCCCATATGGCCATGGCTAATTGGTTCATGCTAGCAGTATTGGCCATATTCCTCATACTTAAGCCTTTCAAGACTGAATTTCTTCTAAGTAATATATAAGAATTCAATTCATACCTCACATGAAATACATTATATCTCTGCTGCAAAGACCAACTGGTTAATGCTGTTTAGGGGAACAGTCATTGTTTATTTTGAGAACTATACTGAACACAGAAATACACCCTGTGGGCTGAATGCTGAGTTTTGATATGTTAAAGCAGGTAGTACTTAACAGAAGACAGAGGTCTTTGAAGCGTTAAATCCAGGTGATTCTGACCTTGGGGTCATGCTGAAAGACAAACTTTCTGTCAACGTTCTGCATGTCTCAGAAGAATGGAAAGAAAATAATCAATGAGCTGTTCCAAACATTTCCCAAGAAGATTTTCATTGAGTATTTTGAAATGTACGAATTAGATGTGAAGCCTGCCAGCAAGCACAAGGACATCATTTTCTAATATCTTTCGTGGTTTCAGGTAAACACAATCAATGTCATAAATTTTTTAGTGATGAGAAATACAGGTTGCTGTTATTGGCTACTAAGCTGGGTATGTTGGAGAAACTCCTGACCTGTTTGACACAGCATCATATAATGAAAAATGTGTACAGGAGAAAGAAGATGCAATATAAGTTGAGAGATCTGACTGATTGGCAGGTATTTCAGTTGGTATCCTGACATGTTCAAGAAAACTTCACTCCTCTGTTCCTTTTGGACTTTTTTAAATGCTGTGGAAGGTTAAAAGTATAAGATATATTTGTAATGTGTCATGTGTTTGTCCAGATGACATAGATGACATAGGTATAACTTTGTACAACAATTACAATAGAAGAAATAATGATGTAGAACATCATCGAACTAAACAAAGATCAGTAGAAAAATATATCTGTGGAAAGACTGACACTTCCATAACAGATCAAAATTATTGTTATTCATTTTTATTTTTCTAATTAAAAATGTTCATATGTAAGTAACATATATTTAATTTATTCGTACAGTAAAGATGTAAATAAGGAATTTGTGAGAAGAAAATGTAATTACAGATAAGCTGGAGGGTCTATTATAAATTGCAGAATTTTTGTGATTAAAACACAGTGAAAATATAATGTACTTTAGTGAATTAATTGTTTACCATTTAATTATATATCTTTGGTTGCTGATTGAGAGAGCATCATTTGTTAAGTAGTGATTTAGTGTTATTTATTAGTGTGCACTGCCAACAACATTTAATCGCTAATATCTTTGTTGTTTGCCGTAACAGATACATTAGTGATTAAACGTTGATGGTAATGCACTGTGTAATTAGTTATGATATAGAACAACATGGAAGGTATTCATTTAAATAAGGTGTACAGCAGGGGTGTAGTCCTAAAAAATAAAATTGCTGGTTCGGTTCAGCTTGAAATAAATCATGATAAGAGGCTGTTTTCATTTTTATTTCATGGCAGATTTACTATTTTAAATGCAGAACAGAATAACAAGCAGCTCATAAAACACTTAAAGCAGCAGGCATTTCCATCTCAGGGGTTGGAAATTAAACAAGATATAAGAAAAAAGTTCTGTCTTCTGGGTTATATCACTATGTAGTCCTTGAAAGTTAACTGATGTTTCTCAGGAACATGTCATCTTCATCTTCAGTGTTCAGGAGTAAGCTGAACAGGAAACTAGTGTGAAGCTTGGCTTGGATAATTCCTTGAGCTTAAAGATGGAGGCAACATGTTGCTCAGAAGCATCAGTTGACTTTCCGCAGACTAAACCGCATTATAAAACTCTTCATAACCATCACTGTGAGAACCTCAAATATAAGAATTTTATATTTCACACTGCCAGAACCATGGTCTGTTACTTAAATCACCATGGCACCATCCTTGATTTCCCTGGCTTGACTACAGCCCTGTTGTTGAAAATCAGTCCTCCCATTATTTGTGTTATCCTCATTTCTATATATTACCACCTATATGAAAAGAATGACCATCCAGAGTGAAAGAATTCTTAACCTTTATCAGACAAATTATTCCTCTAAATGAAACCTCTTGTGTAGATAGAATCACATAATGAAATCATGTTAATGAACAATATTTTCTTTTGAGTGCTATATATATGTATAATATGATGTATAGTTTTGAAAATCCTAAATAACTGTAATTTGCACATAGAATTCGGACTCACCACTTATGACCATTTGCATGATGGAGGTTATTATTGTGTCTACCTGCCAGTCAAGATGCTTTTTGATCTCTAATCATTTTTAAATGGAATTTTACTCAGTCATATGTTAATGCAATTTTAAATGTGAACAGTTTATGCATTAAAATAATTGTGCAAATTTAAATGAATTGTCTTTTCTGTGTTTCTTATGTCTTCTTTCGAATGTACATAAAAGTAAATGATGGATTGTAAAGAAGTTTCTGTATTGAATTATAAAAATTACCCCAAAACAATGTAATTTGCTGCATTATATGTGGACACTAACTTTATGCTCTGAGTACAGTTTGTTTCAAGACTAATCTTTTAGAGAATAAAATATACAACGCATTGAGTGTATCCTTATTGTCCATCAAGAAATTCTGCATTTAATTGTATATATGTGAAAAATGGTCATAATTGTTTGATTTAAGTTTACGGTATTATAACATATAAACAGAGGTCTAGCACAGAACATTATGTAAATGTGTTGAAAAAGACAGCAATTTATATCATTGGGACCCTAAACATTATTGTAATTTTCTAATATCTGGGGTCCTAATAAACATTCTCTTTCAGATGAGAACTCAGTTCATTTCTCCATTGCCTTTGATTTCTTCTCATGTATTGTTAATAGTTTTCTAGTCCATTTTATTTATTATGTAACCTTATACTGTGCCTAATATAGTAAAACGTAGTGTAGAAAGGACATTTAAATTTTTTGGTCTCAAAGCATCATCAGGGCACAGTGAATTTAGCTCTTTGAATGTCATGCCCCACCATAGAATCTTCTAGAAATGCCAAAGCTGCATGGAGGTATACGCAGTTGCACAGAAAAATCATAGTATTTGCTCAAATTACCTTTAGACATGATGAGATATAGATCATATGAAAGCCTGTTCTTTCCTCTGAACATTAGTATGTCGCCCCT